TTGTATTGCCAGTTTATATAGTACTTCACATGCTTCTATTGTATTGCCAGTTTATATAGTACTTCACATGCTTTTATGGTATTGCCAGTTTATATAGTACTTCTAATGCTTTTATGGTATTGCCAGTTTATATAGTACTTCTAATGCTTTTATGGTATTGCCAGTTTATATAGTTCTTCACATGCTTTTATGGTATTGCCAGTTTATATAGTTCTTCACATGCTTTTATGGTATTGCCAGTTTATATAGTACTTCTCATGCTTTTATGGTATTACCAGTTTATATAGTACTTCTCATGCTTTTATGGTATTACCAGTTTATATAGTACTTCTCATGCTTTTATGGTACTACTAGATTATATAGAGCCCTTTTAAGGATTTATATCAGCATTTTTGTAGCTACGTACACCGAATTTTAATATATTGATTCAATTTTCTCTATTCACGTTACTTGCTATAAAATGAATGACCATATTAGGGGTAGAAATTTACACAATAGAGATGTGGTAAACTTAAGATTTGTGCGCGTGTATATATTTGAATACATTGAAAACTATTAAAATTCATTCAATATTTCATTACATTGGAAGAGTTAATTGTTGGAACTTCGAAATTTTCGCTCATGGTAAATTGCTTACCTAAATACCTAACAAACTGAAATTTTAGTTTGTATTTTTTTTTTTTTTGTTCCTATACAAATGTACATTTTTGATGTTGAGAAAGACGTTTCAATAAACGAGTCAGTGGCGAACTCACGTGGTAAATTTCCGAGCAGATGATTACCCCCAGGCAGGGGTAATAGGGTACGATGTGCAATATGAACGTTTATTACCTCGTGGGTATAGATCCAAACATGAGTAATAGAGTAGAATGTGCAATATCAACGCTTATTACCTCGTGGGTATAGATCCAAACATGAGTAATAGAGTAGAATGTTCAATATCAACGTTTATTACCTCGTGGGTATAGATCCAAACATGAGTAATATAGAGTAGAATGTGCAATATCAACGTTTATTACCTCATATTACCTCATGGGACTGAAACCAAGTGAAATTTTCGGTTCCATAAAGTTTTGAGGAGATGCTGCCTCATACTCGCTACAGATAGAATTGTTAGTTACATGTTACACTTATACGAGCTTGTTTCTAATTCATTTTTCAACGCGAGCTCGTTTGTAATTCCTTATTCAACACGAGCTTGTTTGTAATTCCTTATTCAACACGAGCTTGTTTCTAATTCCTTATTCAACACGAGCTTGTTCGTAATTCATTATTCAACACGAGCTTATTTATAATTCCTTATTCAACACGAGCTTGTTTGTAATTCATTATTCAACACGAGCTTGTTTGTAATTCATTATTCAGCTAGAGCTTGTTTCTAATTCTTTATTCAACACGAGCTTGTTTATATTTCTCCAGCAATTTCCTAATCTTGTAAGTCACATGTAGCAGCAATATGTTTCAATGTTTTCTGGACAGACAAAATAAGATAGGTATTATTGGCCGGTTGTTGCCGGGTCGAGTAGCCTTGCTTCTCTGCGTGATGCTGTTCCTAATTAAGTGGAGCTCGTTATATTTCTTTAGATATGATTATTTGTTATGTTAGTTTCAGAGATATTAGTGTTACACTTTGAATTGCTCATGTATTCAATATATTTTGATATGATTGCAATTCGCGCTCAAATGAGTCGTCTCATATATGAAGCCATATTGCTCTCGTCTCAATTAGACTAATTTGCATATGCTATAGACACTTTTTGCATTTGCACTCTAATGTAGCGTGTTCACCTAAAAAGTCACTCTAATGTAGCATGTTCGCATAAATAGTCACTCTAATGTAGCGTGTTCGCCTAAAGAGTCACTCTAATGTAGCGTGTTCACCTAAAGAGTCACTCTAATGTAGCGTGTTCACCTAAAGAGTCACTCTAATGTAGCGTGTTCGTCTAAAGAGTCACTCTAATGTAGCGTGTCTGCCTAAAGAATCACTCTAATGTAGCGTGTTTGCCTAATGAATCACTCTAATGTAGCGTGTTTGCCTAAAAAGTCACTCGAATGTAGCGTGTTTGCCTAAAGAGTCACTCTAATGTAGCGTGTTTGCCTAAAGAGTCACTCTAATGTAGCATGTTTGCCTAAAGAGTCACTCTAATGTAGCGTGTTCGCCTAAAGAGTCACTCTAATGTAGCGTGTTGCCCTAAATAAAATATAATTGTATTTTCTTGGACAAATAATCATGTATTTACGCAAAATATACATACTCCCATCTTCACCTCTCTTTATTTCCGCAATTTCGTGTCTTAATTGCAATGAAGAACCCAAATTTTGTAATTTTAAATAACATAACATAACATATAGTGATGCCGGCGCTGAAGTGTAGGCCTGATGTGGCCTGTCGCCGATTCTTTTCCTTTTCGTGCCTTGTTCACAGATCTAAAATCGTGTCATTTGACCGTATTTTTTCATGACTGACGAAAGTTTGAAATAGCTACTAGACTTCCACCGGGTTCGATATGGTGCTAGGCATTTCAAATCTGAACATATAGTTTTCCATAGCTTTATCTAGTCTGTTCTTGAACGCGTTCCTACTTGGAGCGCCAACGATGTCATCGGGGAGGCTGTTCCACATGTCGGTGATTCGAAGCGGGAAGTTGTCCAGCTAGGAAGCTATCTCTGAGTTTTTTTTTTTGAAAGCACGGTAAATCATGAAATTTTCAAATGAATGAAAAATTTTCTGAAGTTATTGGCCATGAATCAGTTTGGAACAGTTTTCAGGTAAGACAGGTAAGAGTGCTGGAAGTGAACGAAGTTAGCCCGGACACTTGGTAATCCGTCTTGCGGTTCTGTAAGTACAACTGTCGTGCCATGTCATATCTCGCACGTAAGTCATCCCTCGTTACCAGTGAACATTCAACAGTGACATATCAATAAACATACGAGATAGTGAAGCTTCTTCTCTAAGTTATTTAGTTGGCCATAACACTGCATTTGTAGAAAACTTCTCATGTCAAGATCGTCATTCGGTCGTCAAGATGTCATGATTGAGGCGAATTAAACAAATTTTATTTCTGAAATTAGTTAGTAACGCGTTACTGGCACATAAGAAGTAACGCGTTACTGGCACATGAGAAGTAACGCGTTACTGGCACATAAGAAGTAACGCGTTACTGGCACATGGCACATAAGAAGTAACGCGCTACTGGCACATAAGAAGTAACGCGTTACTGGCACATAAGAAGTAACGCGTTACTGGCACATAAGAAGTAACGCGTTACTGGCACATAAGAAGTAACGTGTTACTGGCACATTAGAAGTAACGCGTTACTGGCACATACGAGCCAGTAAGGAGCTACCAGCCGTACTGATTCCATAGAGTTTCTCATAAAAGATGGCAACCGAGCTGAAATGCAGCAACAATTTATTGTTGTTAACGAATTCAAATTAAAATTTACAACAACGGAATTATTATTCGACCAACTTGATGGTAAGAAAATCACGCAATATTGAGCATAGTCATTTTACCCAAGATGACATTAATGTAGATTGTGAGCGAACCAATGCACTGTATGGCTTTAATTTCAAAATAATGAATCTCTTGAATACATTATAAAAGTTTGAATGGCTGTATTGAAATAAAAATTCTGATAAAGTTATATTGTTTCATGCTCACTCTCTAGCTGAGCTTTTAACGGCTCTATGTAACTTTTTACCGCATGTCGTTTAGCCCTGGCCAAGCCTGGAAAATTTTAGATTTTCCACTCAAAAACGTATATTTCAATGTGAGGTCTAAAAAACCTCATCGTCCTTGATCGCCTAACAATTTATTGACCTCTTGATGGTATATGTATATGGTATATGGTATATGTTATAAGGTATATGGTATATGTTATATGGTATATGGTATATTGTATATTATATTCATCAGCTACCTGGTGATCGATAACGACTCTTAGGTCAGAAAGTATATACAAGTTCGTATCCCTAATACCATGTAAAATATGTAAAAATCTACCATGTAGTCAGTGTATACACAACGGCGTCATGGTCGTGATAAATATTGAATATTTTATTTTGCCTACGCTATTGAAACTCTGGCTGGCGCACAGAGCGAATATGAACTTTTTAACCATTGGTCAAATAAATGTCTATTGTAGTTTTTTTTACCAAGATTGCATGTTTTTAATAGCTTTAATTGAGTGAGTTGGTGGCCATGGCAGCGCGTCGCCGCGAGACGCTGGCTGCCATGGCAACGTTCGACGCCCAGTCTATTTAGGACGGGTTCCTATAGCAACTGATATCTGAGGGGCCAGTCACTCAATTACTATCACTTATATAGCAACTTATATATATTTATTTGGAGCCCGAAATATAGCTATAACAGACAAATAGTCCAGTCACTGCTTCGTATTGATAATAGAGGGAAATTATTCCGTGACAAAAGGTTCATCAAGAATTGAGAGAAACTCGAGAGCAATCGAGGTTACCATTTCAATTATGCTGTAAAGTGTAAACCATCAATTATTGACGAATCTTGATAAGGTTGTAGTTGTCCTAAAGGATTCCAAGGCGATGTAGGATCAGTACACACGCTCCTCGGCACCGATGGTTGCTCTAAAAAAATTACCGTTTATAATGGAAGCACGAAAATAGATTTTTTTACCCCTGATAGAGAACCGATTATTTCTCTAAAACTAAAGAATATGTTTTTGGTTGAGTAATAAATTGCATATAAGCAGATTTCGTTGACAACCAGAGAATTTGTTTAGTGACGAATTTCTTAATCGTTTTTTTCTATAAATCGAACAATATTTTTTGTTTGCACTGGTAAATCGAAAATCAGGGTACTTATGGACATTTTTAATTCGTTAACAACGTTTCGAATGTGTCAATCATTCATTGGCAAGTTACAAGACGCATTTAGCGATGAAATTTGGATCGACATAAGTACTAAATTATATAAATAGGATCCTGCTCAAAAAACCGAATTTGATTATAAATAATTACAGAATCACGATAATATGACGATGAACAGCATTTAAAACACCTAAAATTACCCGAAAAACAGTCTCAATGTTCTCACAAACTTCCTAACACTGTTCAAGTAAAGCGTGAAGCGTACCTTAACTTGATTTTATAGCTAATAGGCAACTGCCGTAACCGTGAAGAGACAGCAGCTCAAAGTTCTTTTTCATCACTATGGTGAAAGGTGAGTTTATTCTATAATTTTGTCATCGTCGTAATACAAGCATATCGGTCTTTAAATATTTTTATTTTTATTCAACGCTTATGCCAGTTTCCGCCCCGCACCGATTTTTCTCTTAATTTTTCACAACTTCAACATTCTCTACGGCTGTTGTGGACTTCGAAATTAGCTCACGAGTACAGTTCAAGTGTGTTTTGCATGAGATTGTGTGTTTTGGTATAACTATTCCAGTATAACTATTCCAGTACTAGAGCAATGAATTTGCTTTAGTTTTTGAGATTCTTCTCTTAACTATAAGAAATGCACGAATTACTTACTGGTGCATACTATATTGATATTCCGACACGTAAGAGAACGGTTCTCACATCGTCGACGCAGTAGACAAGTCGTTGGCACCTGGGACGTGTTGGTCGGTCCAATGACCACATTATTTTAACGTGTTTTAACATATTACTTATTGTCGCGTTTCAATATATTGCTCATTGCCATGTTTTACTATATTACTTATTGCCGTGTTTTGATAGGTTACTTATTGCCGTGTTTTGATAGATTTCTTATTGCCGTGTTTTGATATATTACTTATTGCCGTGTTTTAATATATCACTTATTGCCGTGTTTTGATATATTACTTATTGCCGTGTTTAGATATATTACTTATTGCCGTGTTTAGATAGATTACTTATTGCCAGTGACGCTGGAGTTGCTGCGGCGCAGGTCTGAGCACAACGACGGTCTGGTGACCAGTCTGGAGGAGCTGGCGCTGCACCAGCTGGGCATCACAGACCTCGGCCAACTGCCGGTGTGGTGTCCCAGACTCAGGATACTCCTGCTGCAGGGCAACCTGCTCAGCCACCTGGGTAATTATTGCTGCTGCAGGGCAACCTGCTCAGCCACCTGGGTAATTATTGCTGCTGCAGGGCAACCTGCTCAGCCACCTGGGTAATTATTGCTGCTGCAGGGCAACCTGCTCAGCCACCTGGGTAATTATTGCTGCTGCATGGCAACCTGCTCAGCCACCTGGGTAATTATTGCTGCTGCAGGGCAACCTGCTCAGCCACCTGGGTAATTATTACTGCTGCAGGGCAACCTGCTCAGCCACCTGGGTAATTATTGCTGCTGCAGGCAACCTGCTCAGCCTCCTGGGTAATTATGGCTGCTGCAGGCCGCACAGTTGCTAATTACTGTCAGGAGAACCAGCCCAGCGCCTATACTTTGAAAAAAAAGTAAAGAGATCGTATGTTCATCAGCCAATCATTGACGGCCTTTCAAGCCAAATCCACCAATCATAGTGAAGAAAATAGAGCGTAAGTACTTACGTTCACTTAGCGAGTTTTGAAAGTATAGGCTCAGGAGCAGCGGTAATGCTTAATTAATGTGTCAAGACAGTCTGCTCATCAACCTAGACCTTTGTTCTGCTATTTTACTGCTGAAGAGAGGCGCTTCCTCAGCAGCCTGAATGATCCTTTTGTTTTTGCCAGTAACCAAGGACAACTTGTTATGTGGATAAAAAAAATGTATATTTCATTCCAGCACGGTCGACACAGATGTGTTGATTATGCGAAGTAGGATGTGCCGGCAAATATTTATTCAAATCGCAGTTACATATGAATCCCTTCTCATCCACATAGTTTCACTCTACAGTTTATTATCTAGGTTTTATCTCTACAATTCTCCAGCCGTAAATAAATATCGAAGATTCTGAACTTGTTGTTCACATACAGGGAAGATCGGGCGGCTGAAGGAACTTGTGTATCTGAACTTAGCCTTGAACAACTTGGAGCTGCTGCCATCAAGTTTATGGCAGTGCGAATCTCTGAATAAACTTGACCTCACCGCCAACTTCATCAGAGATCTTCACCACACAGTGGGTGTGCTACAGAACCTTCCATGCCTCACCGAACTGTGAGTGATGACTTCATGGCAATAACTGACATCGATAGCTTGTATTTTCGCTTTTTAGCGAATTTTCTCTTTTATGGAAAAAATGCACTATTGTGCTCGCCATGTCCATCCGTCCGTCTGTCCGTCCGTCCGTCCGTCCGTGACTTCACGTTTTCGTCGACGAGAAAATTATATTTTTTTAGGTCTTGGCTGCCACAGTTTATTTGGCGCTTCATATTGGTATGAAGAACAAAGTTACGGCATATGTAACATAATTGAAAACATTTGCATAACATCTTCTGGAAACGGAGGATCAGGCCTCTGTATCCCGTTAATGAGAAGCTTTGATATATTAAAGCAACACACATATCATGGGACCGGAAAAGGATTTTTTTTGAAACATGCTCCTTTATTTACCGATTTTATTCAATAATGGGTGCTCTGTGGATTAGGTAATATTCACTCGGGAAGATATTGGTCATGAGTTGTATCTGTTCAAGATACCAAAAGATTGAATTGTGTTTAAATAATAACTTTCGCCTGGATTGGCATTTGGCGTTGTAAACAGTGTTTTTATTAAAGTATTTTTTTTGTGGTATTTGGTGATAGAAGCTACGGGATTACTCCTAAGCTTCGATCGTTTGGAAAAAGTCTGTGCGATCAGACTTATATTTTATGACAATTACGATAAATCTTCTAACAAAAATATATAAAAAGTAATTTTCAAAGAGCGTAACTATATTATATTGGTCTAAACTATTGGAACATTGCCGAGTATTATTGATTGAATTGTATAGTTTGTTCAACATACGGTAGTGACGGCTGGTAAACCAACGACCCATTTATTAATAATAATAATAATAGCGGTTTCAGCGTTTATTAGGCCTTAGGCCTGTCGCCGATTCTTAACATCGCAGAACATTCACAGTATTTTGCGGTCTCGAACTCGCAACTCGCTGCTACAATTCTGCTGTGCTTAACCGCCCGGCCTCCTCGCCGATTCTGACCAGAAACTGGCGCACAGAGCTGGGATCGAACCCGCGCCTCTCTGCTCCAATCTTGGTACTGTGAACTGTAACCACTGGGCCACCCTGCCATCATGTTTAACTTCTACAAAGCATACTAAGTAATGAGCTCGTCATCATTTATTAGTATATGGGAACTTTTAATGATATTTATTGTTGAGCATATTTGTCCCCTCTATATAGATACCTGATGGGCAACCCTGTGAGCTCCTACGAAGGCTACAGGAGCTACGTCGTCGCTTCTCTGCCAGGTGGACAACAACTAGACACTATCAGCTGGCGGGAACTTGAATTTTTCTTATCATTAAATTCAGATTCAAGTTTTTATAACCTAGTATATAGTTGTTATCACTAAATCTAACGAGTAAAATGACCACGTTTTTGTCTATGAGTCACATTGCGTTCATATCGTTCGTGAGGGAAGTTGTAGTATCTTGAGGAACCGAAGAGAGGCGAAATTTTGTGCACTCCACCTAGAGACGATAATCGTGATATACGTTATTGTGAAGATTATTATTAATAAGAAATCTTGCAGTATTTATATAAACTGTTGAGCTTTCGGCCTTAGTCAGGGCACATTTTGTGATGCCATGCCCCATATCGGGTCTAACACTGGTAGTCAGGGCACGTTTTGTGATGCCATGCCCCATATCGGGTCTAACACTGGTAGTCAGGGCACATTTTGTGATTATTACATTCCATTTAAATAAGAGTTTATCAAATCAGATCCCCAATTGAGTGCGCTCCTTGCTAGACGAGTCATAACGTCACCCTCATGCAGGACTCAGCGACATGGATGGCGTGCTAGGTGATAATTGCTGGTATTATTGGCTTTATTGCAACTATATATTTGTCCACTTTAGGCCACATGAGACATTTCTGGCACTGAAAATTGCTTCGAGTCGTATTAATGAGATTCATAAGCAAGATAGAATAATTTTCCTCCCGCAGGTCTCCTCGAGCTGGACGGCATTACCATCCTGCGCCACGAGCGCATCAAAGCCCTGCAAGAACGCGAGGTCTCGGACGCCGCAGTCGCGCGGGGCTACAAGACTGAGAGCCGTGAGTTACTTCCACTTTGGCAATCTCGCCAAAAAGTTGCCACTAAACCAGGCCCCATACTTTCAAAAAAAGTTAAGAGATCGTAAGTTTGTCAGCCAATCATTGACGGCCTTTCAAGCAAAATCCACCAATCGTAGACAAGAAATTAGAGCGTAAGTACTTACGTTCACTTAGCGAGTTTTGAAAATATACTTTACAGGACGATTTTTAGAGGCTGATTTTGCCCGGCCAGAGCCGAGGTTTTGCCACCACCAGTTTTAGACAGACGCATACTTCAGTACCTCTCAAGATGTATCACTGGTGAAAACTGAAACCTAAATGTAATTCAAGGCTAATATAATTTGTTGTACGTGAAAATTGTTTGGGTCTCATTTAGTGATATTCGTGTGTGTTATTCCATTCCTTCAAAATGGCAACGTGTACACAAATATCTCCGTGCGTCAGCAGCTAAGAAGGAATTATCCGAATTAAGATCTTCTTCGGTTATGTTGTAAAGCTACGGATGTGAAGACGTATAAATTCAAGCATGTTATTGCGTTAGAAAAAGATCCTATGTACTGTATTTGTCCACCCTCCTCAGTAGAAATATATTTTAAAAATTATACGTTGCTAACAACATGGCAGGTCTATTTATTTTTCGCGTAGTATGCAGATTTTCACGCAAGGATGCGGATTAATAAATGATGTTTACCGTTGCGATAACTTGGACCAAACTGACACACGTAAAAGCAACTCTAATTAGGGTTAAACTTCAATTTCGAGTATTCTGAACTATTTGACCCAAGGATAGATCTGGCAGGGTTGAATATAAAATAAAACGTGCAAGATCTCCGATCGAGCTGTGATTATTTGAAGGCCATTGTAGAAGAATTTTTGAGCCGGGGTGTCCCGAGTTCTGCCATGCTGAGATAACCGTGAAATATAGGGCGTTAATTTAACGGTTAACTGTACGTACTCAATTGTACTACATGGCTTCCGAACTGTCGGCGAAGCGCGCAGGTTAAACTAGAAAATGTAGTGTATTCCAATTTTGAATACATAGCCTTGATTCAGTACTTGGATTCTAAATAGCGTATATAGTGATTCATATATAGAAGCCACGGAATGTGCATCCCGACAATCCGAAGTATCCAGCCTGGTATCTGAATTCTGCTGAACTGACTTCGCGGTGAACACAGTAAAGGATAATCTATTTAAAACTTCAACATAGTTATGTCACAACTTCAATTTATATTTCAATATATCATAATTTTTATTCATACATATAATAATTCATAATTATGATAATTCGTAATTACTACTCTAATTAATAATTAATTGATTCATAAGTTATGAATTAAATTGTACATTTGAAGGCTCACGCGCACAGCAAAAGGCCGCTCATGAGAACTTACGTGAAGCTGCAGCCCAGATGAGCGATCATTCTGAGGACGACGAGGAGTTCAGCGTCAGGTAAAACATTCTGATGATAACTCGAGGTAGGAGCTGTGGTGGTGCAGTGGTGAGAGACTCTGTCTCTCGCACCCAGCTCCCGGGTCGAGTCCCACTAGGACAAGTTCTTCCGGGAAGCTCAGCTCATGGTCAACTCAGCCATTCATCCAACTCTGGTTGATAAATGAGTACCTGGCTTGTCCAGGGTGTTGTGTAATGCAATCAAAATGGTTCTGGCGGGTCAGGGAGCCAGTGATGGTCGTAGAACTACCAGTGGCACCGAGTGCCCGGAAAAACTGACCTATCACCCCCCCTCCCCCCCCCTCTCTAGTCGCCACTGCCAGGATGGGCAATTACAACAACAACAACATAACTCGAGGTCCGTGACGCATGAGTTCAAAGTCATTCTCACTCAAAAATTCACATGCAAGAAGTAGTAAATAAATGCAAACTTGATTCTGTTATGATTATTGAAGAACATATTAAGCTCACTATTTTTTGACTCCAATTAGTCCTGCCAGAGATTCACCATCAGACAACTCTTATTTTTCACGGTATTCACTAATATATCGATAAATTTGATCTAGTAATGATAACATATAGAAACTTGAAATGATTCAGCTTGCATAACTGGTCAGTATATTAATTGTAGTATGTGAGGTGTGGGCACTATGAGTTGGAGCGAGTACAAGCTACTAACTTCTGGAAATGACGTCGTCAGGTGGAGCCAGGAGGCGACTTATCTTAGTGAATGACTAATGGTAAAGTTATTGCCAGGTGGAGCCCTGAAGCGACTTATTATTTCAGTGAATGGCTAATGGTAAAGTTATTGCCAGGTGGAGCCAGGAGGCGAGCGACCACTGCCCTGAGACGCGCCTGTCCATGCACGAGGAGCTGGAGCGGCGCAGGCGTAGACAAGCAGAGAAGGACGGACCGCCGGTGAAGGTGGGACGACAGGCCTCAATGTTGCTCGAATCTGGTCATTTTTGTACGCATTTCAAGCTTATTTAAAAGATATGAATAAATGTGTCTGAATTGCTCACTTTAAAACAGATTACTTTTGAATTATGCATGAGTACGATAGATTTAACTTTGGGGAATATCGATCTCAAAATCTGATAAGTTATCACTGTGGAACACAAAAAGCATTTTAGTTTTGGTATGTTATTTATGTTACATTTCCTGATAAAAACGGAAAATTTATGTCCGCTTCTTTGGAATTTCAAACCCAACAGCTTAGAAATTAAAGTAACAGGCATTAAAGAAAGGCTGCCATTTCCAGAAAGAAGTGCGTCTGTATGCCAAAGATGGGCGGGCTCTGAACGTCAACGAGGCTAAAATTAATTTCAAATTCACAGACGACGAAGAGCACAACAACTACAAGCTGGAAGTGCACACCTACAAGTGGGTCTCAAAGTAACAATTATTGCATTCTATTTATGAGCGTCGTTTTCAGAATAAAAATCTAGTTTCTATTTGGTAAATTGTACTGTGTTTTGGCTCCAATTTAATTCAATTTTTGTTCTACCTGCATCGGGTCTAACGAAGTTTCGCCTAATTCATTTGTTCGAATTCTAATACTGCTCGGAAGTTGTTTCGGTTTCTCTTGCAAAACATTTAGCAAATGTATCATCTTAGCTTGAGTATTGTGTGTATGTGTGACATACTGCTTTAAGAGAATATCGCCATAGGTCTTCAGCCAATATTTAAGAATGCTCGATAATAAGCAGTCAGTTCCGCATCTGGACCGGTCCCTTCCTAGCCTCTACGACATAATCCATGCATGCTTCACCTACTCAAACCCTTCTTTCAGCCAATGACTGGCTCTCCCTTCTCACTTGCCTCGCCTCTCTAGCTTCCTGCGCAAATTAGGTTAAATGAAGTATTGCTCAGGTTTCATTTTTGGAGGAAAATTCTTGCTAAGTGTGAAGGTTAGGCCAGGTGCAGTGTGACCATGTTTAACTTAAGCTTGCTTTAGTGACGGAACGCGCTGCAGCGGAAATGAACATATGGAACGCGCTTTTACTCCAACGCGCTTATACGGAAATGAATAGGAACTAAAGTGAAAACTTTGGCTAAGTTGGACTTCGACATGCGCCTCGCTCATATCAATAGTTCTGCAAGCAACATATTTCTTGCTTTTTTTATTTGCCCCACACACTTGGTACATACAAGTTTGGCTGGCTATTTTCATTCCCTTCATCGCAACCACCTATTGCAGATTTGCAGCTACTACCACCAACTATTTAGCCCCCTCCCTGCAACGCCGTATGCCATGACTCGCTACTCAACATGGACTCAAGTACATTTCCATATCCTGTGGTAATTAAGCTACATCTCATACATCCAGCCACATAGCTACACCTACTTCCTTCATCCAAAGACACATGGGCAAATCAGTACACCCTTTCTCCTTTGCGTAGGTTCCTGGACCCGCTATAACCACGTTTTCTCACATGAGGACCAAAACCTATTTTCCCCGTCACCCTCTTATCTATAGGCACCTGGACCCATCGCTACTGCAGTGCGAGGTGCAGCCGCTGCTGGTGCGAGTCGTCGTCTGCGGAAAGACCCTGCAGCTCGTGTTGCCTGGTGAGGTGCGTTGTCTGGAAGCCACAGCCCAGCGCTCTAGCACCACCGGACATCTGCTCGTAGTCATGCCCAAGGCGTGAAACGCCCCAATCATTTCTTCTTCTAATAATTTGTTTGGCAACCAACTGCTGCTGTCCCGGTGGTTATACAACTGAGTCTGTTGTCGTATTCTGCTGTTACGGTCTATAATTATTAATTATTACGCCAGCTAAAGTGTATTGGCTGCCTCATAATAAACCATTCCAACTTAATTAAGGAGAACTTATTTCATCTTTAATTGCTTCAAATCTCTTACATATTTGTTTGTGTGTTTGATGCCTGGTGCAGAGAGGGTTAGGACAAAACTTCAAATTTGATTTTTAAATTTACATATGTAAAATTATTTAATGAACAGCAAGTAATTTTTATATACAGGGTGCATTATGAAAGTAATAAGCATTTTCTGGTGGATAACATTTATTGATCGTAATTTGTACATATGTTCAATATTCTTCAAAATACATTCCTCCTGCATCAATACACTTGCGGAGACGTGTTTGCCACGCCTGAGAGGCACCCAGATTAACACCTCGACGGGAATGCCTCTCAGGAACGATGTAACATGGTGTTGGATGTGGAAAAGGCTGAGTTTACAGTTTTTCCTTGCGGTACAAACTCACAATGGACTATTCCTCGGATGTCAAAGAAGACATTGATCATCGTTTTGATCGCAAAACTTCGCGCGCACGATCCACGTTCTCTTCAGTTTGGGTTGTTGGGCGTCCAGAGCGGGGTTCGTCGGCGACCTCCTCCCGGCCCTCCCTGAACGCCTTGTGCCACTTTCCAGATTGTGATGTTGAAATGCATTCGTCGTTGAAGGCTTCTCGCAGCATCTGGAATGTTTCGGTTGCATTTCTTCCAAGCATCACGCAAAAATTTATGGAGTATCGTTGTTCCAGCTAACGCTCCATCGCGCTATGTTACAAAAGTCGAAAACACACTTCACGCGGAGGCTCGCTTCTCCGCTCATACTGTTCGAACTCAACTTACGACCGGATGCACTACAGCACTGAAAGGGCATATCCCCCACCACATTCCCCAGCCGGTTTGACCGCGCTGCCATCTATCGTCGCGACACAATAACATCATGCTCATTACTTTCATAATGGACTCTGTATATGACGGAATAAAGATTTTAGTTGGTGTTGAAAAAGCATTAGATATCTTCGACCTTGGAGTCCGTAGTAGCCCCTAAAGTCCTAAACAGAACGCTGGTTTTGCAGGTGCGAAACTTTTCTCGACCTCTGTTTCATGTAAGAACTTGGCCAAACTTCAGAGAAATTGCATTGAAGGAGAAATTAACTTGCGTCAGAATTCTATATATCAAATATCACAGCTGAGCTGTGCTAGATGAGGCATTGAGGAGATGGTAACACCACGCGTCTTAAACCTAACTTAAAAAATAATTAAAATGAGCTGCAATTGATAGCCCGTGCTCCAGAGCCCCGATGAAATATATGAAAGAAACGAGTGTACAAGCAGGAGAGGTTGTGTAAGCAATACTTCTGCAAGTAATACATGTGAAAATAACTCTTGAAACAGAAAATAATAGGTTGAGTCTGCGATTGATTTCTGTCACGACCGCTGTTAGGAGTTTTCGGCCGTTTCTTCTGCTCTTCTTTTAAGCAGCAAAATATATTTAATATTGACGAGATCATTTTTTTACATATAATATTCATAACTCAAAAAAAATTGAATAAAACATAAGACTCATTGTGTTCAAGCGAGTATTTACAATGAAAACTGTAAATTTCCTGGACCTATGCTCCTTATTTTTTATTTTACAGAACGCAAGATGTCTAGCAAATCAAATCTCGAGTAAATTTTCACAAGCTACTTACAATTACAATTTAATTTCATTTCAAATTTCAATGTCAATTTTCAAACAGATAAATGTCCTAAATTTTTTCAAACCAAGGGTTGAGTTATGGTTTGTACGGGCCTACAAGTTTGTTGTCCGTCCAGTGTCAATCAAGGGGCGCAGCCGGAGGCCACAAATTCTACTTCTAAATAAGCCCTGGAGCCAACGCCTAGCTTCACCATGAATTAACTTTACTCAGCCTCAGAGCTAGAAGCCGCGCAGATTGCTCCTAAACTCCATAATTCAGACAAGTGACTCACTGCCAAAAGAAAGTAACGCAGTAGGTCTTCAGTCAATGCTTGTATGCTGGCTCATAAGCAGGCAGTTCCTCATCCGGCTGTACCCACTCCGGCCTAACCTCTTCTGGCCGAACCTATTCACGCTGTAGTGCATCACAACCTTCTTGCAGCCAATGACTGGCTCTACCAGCACACTTGAACTGCCTTTCTAACTTTCTGCAGCCAATGAGGTTAGGTTAGGTCCTCTCAAGTTTGTTTAGGGTGGAGAAATGTTGCAACTTGTTTAGGTTAGGCTTGGCGAGGTTAGCCCGGAAGAGGTTTGGCTAGGTGTTGTATGGTCCTGCTTACCTTTGGCACGCTTATTTTATTGCTGTGGAAATCCGGCGCTATGGCTTTGAGCACTTGACTTCATAGGATGTTATGCCATCTAGCGTTTTTACCTACGGAAAATAATATGAACTAAGTATGAACTTTGGCAAAGCTAGCCTCCGGCATGCGCCCCTGCTTGGTATACTAATGTTTATATCTTGTATACTATAATACTTATAATATATCTTGTATACTTATGTTCAGATTTGAACGAAACTATTGATACCAATTCTAATTATTTAACAGGGATTTTCAGTGTGTTCATTAGTTGGGACATGAAGTTGGGAGATATTCCATGCTCACTGAATATTGGAGACCGGCCGGTCTCTTGAGAGGTGATATCATCGTTAGGCTCTATTGAAAATGTATGAGAAGTTTCATCGAACTACGTTTACTAGTTTGGTAAATATTTTAGGCTCGCTGAACCTAGGAGACCGGCCGGAAACGTGCCCGGTAGGTGGCATGAAAAGTGTCGGCGGTAAAGGACCGAATCGACACTTCAGCGTACTCGAATGCAAAACCTAACTTCACGTTCAACTCTGCCAGGCATAAATCTATCAATACTGAACGGATTTCATTCAAATTTGAAAAAAATAGGTAGATATTATCAATGCGCTGTGGATGGAATTATTTCAGATTTTTACATCAATTCTTTTTTTATTAATACGGAAAACCTAAATTCAGTGCAACTTGAAGTGTCGAATCGGTGCGGAAAGGTCGAATTCACGAATATCTTTTCAAATATTGGAACCAAATTTTTTTTACATTTTTACAAAATCTTTCGTTTATGGAAGTGAAAAGTTATATATAGTATTCTGCATCTGCGTGAAAAATATGTATGGTTTCCATATAATGTCGGGTTAGGAAGGTGTTCATAAAGAGTTAGATTCCTTTAAATATTCCTATTTTGTTTCATGAAACACTCAAATTCGAAAAAATAATCAGATCCATATTGCATGATAATTTAGCAACGAGTTTTACCGACAATTTTTAGATTTTAATTACATTTTTCAACAAAATTTTTCATAAAGTATATACACAAATTGTATATATATATCGGATTAAGTGCTATCAAATCGGAATAAGTAAGCACATATGTTCACAAAATAATTGATTATTCAGCTTCATATGTCCCCCCAATAAAGCTTTATTCGTCCATGTATGTACAATTTGTATAGATTTTGTCTAACTTGTGTAAATGTAAAAATAGTATGAATTTCATTTTTGCATTTTCCTATTTTATGCGCCCTAGGTTTCGGAACGTGTTTATGACCACGAGAATTTTGTGTTGCATACTTGCCGCGCGTGGTTTTCAGTCTTGTAGTAATCCGTACACGGAAGCAGTACTAGTATGTGAACCACATACCTATTGCTCTGCACGTGTTCACCTCATCACCTGTAATGTTTTAAATAATTTTCAAATTAGGTTTTAAGACTTGAGAAAAATTTGTTGAGAAATCAAATGAAATTCAGTGCAAAAATGGGAGAAACCATATCTAATGATAATTAATCTAATCTCTGGGCTCTGGCCTCTGCTGGCTAATTTGAGCTTAGTTGTAACTTGTATGAAATAGCAATTGTCTGAAAGTCGTAGAAATTATTGACTTGTGCATCTAACATGTCAATACAGTGGTACTTTAGTGCAACAAAATGCTTTGATTGCTTTCCATTGTTTAAAAATATTTATTCATTTCAAGTCTTCTTATTTGGGGACACTTAAATTTTTGACCACGTCCACTGCTTGGTAAGTATATACGGCAAGTAGTACCTAGCCAGTAGGCTTACCATTGTGATGATGGTTCTATTATACTTCTATAACTTCCATTATTTGTAATTAGGTAGCTAACATTCTGTCCAAATCCAATTGCCTGCAACATTTCTAGCTATATCAAAGTTGTGAAAGTACAAATTTATCACTTCAAGTTTGAAAATTTGTTACTTGTTAGTAGCCTAGGCCCTAGAGTCATTCATAGTGGCCAGTGGGTTAAAAATATTTTATAAAACAGTTTCTTTTTAATTCCCTCATGGCTGATCCACTGATGATTAGACAGGGTATAGACTGTGAGAGTGTGAGTTACTGTGATAAGTGTGATTTATTATTATGATCACTATTCACTATCATGACTGAGTAGGAGTAGCTAGGGTAAACGCGGTATATTCCGACACTTTAAGGACGCATCGAAAAATGAAAAACTATAAAAAAAAAACGTATGCGTTACGTAAGTTCTGTTGCCTTCACATGACTCTCAAAACACTTCACTACGCGTCAGCAACGATGAAACGTCACAAAATGTTTCGCATGGAACTAAAACAAAGCTTAATATAAAGGAAAAACTAGAGAAGTGACGGAATTACCTACGATGTCGGAATATACCGCGTTTACCCTATGGCCCGATTGGAAAAAACGGGATATCAGACGAACTAGTACGTTTGTTAATGAACTCTGCAGGATGTTTAGGCTGCTAAAATTGTCTCTAAATTCCGCAGGAAGCTTAAAATATAATTCTAACTCAACTCCATCGCGCAATCCGGGAAACGAAATCCACAGAAAGTTCCAAGCGAGAGCTATGGCAATTGGCATTTGGCAAGGCAGCCAAGCCTGCCAAGGCCAATGCGGCAATGCCTGATCATCATCGCCCTGATGATTGGCAATTTGGCACAGACTGCCAGTGCCAGACTGATCACTGATATGTGCATTCTGTTGGAACTTGGAAAGTTGGAATATGGATATGTCTGGCCTGCAATTTTTGTGCTCAAAGTCAAAAATAGTTTTCAATGGACTGGAAAGTAAATTTACAGGTCCAAATTACAATAAACAACTTGTGTTGAAATTTGAAAAATGCTGAAATTGCACATTTTTCTGTATGAGTTGCAATCTTTCAAATTCATGTAAGTTTTACTATTTGAGTTGAGTGCCACACTGAGGATGATGTATGTTTTTGGTGAATTTTCCCGCGCATTTTCACTTTTTTAAGCTATTGCTGTGCACAGTTGGCGCAATGTAATGAAAATTGATTCTCTTTGCGCACATGTTCGCGCAATCCCGGCCATCAATTCTACGTGGTTAAAAAATTAAAAATGTGACCCACAAAAAAAAACTATTATTCAAAGCCTGTCAGAGTACCCCCTCCAATTTTTTTTATTTTTTGGTTAAATAACTCCAGGTTTTGATGCATTGTAGTAGAACTCTTCTAGTTACATATGCAAATGACAAATTTTAGGGAAGTGTCATAGTTTGCAAATGGAGGGCGCCGCCCCCAAATGGGGTAACTTAGACCACCTAATGTCAGCCCTGACGGGGTAACATAGACCGGCTTGGAAGTTAATATAAAATTACCATATATAACATATTTTATGTTTGACAGCCTATTTATGTTTTTTCTTTATGTTTCAGACTCTACAGAGTATTATATATGGTAATTTTAACTTAATTTCCAAGCCAGTCAATAATACCCCATCAGGGCTGCCATTAGGTAGTCACATTTCCCTTATTATGGGGAGGTGCCCCCCATTTGCAAACTATGACACTTTCCTCAAGTTTGTCATTTGCATATGTAACTAGAAGAGTTCTACTACAATGCACCAAAACCTGGAGTTATTTGGAGTTATTTTACCAAAAAATATAATTGATTTTACCACCCGGTCTAAGTTACCCCAAGAGCTGGGGTAACTAAGACCACCACTTTTTTTGAAATTACATAAAGACTATGAGAGGCAGGAGCCAGCAATTTATGGTGAGTGAAGCTAGAGTATAGACCTGTATTTTGCATATTTCAATTCAAGTTTAATTTAGCTAGTAAAAAAATGGCATCATTTATAATAAAAAAAGTGGTCTAAGTTACCCCATTTTACGATAGCCTTAGGAACTCTTCCTGCAATGTTCAAGTTTTGTTGAAGTAAATAGTTCCTTAGTCTTCAGAAGCTTTTGTAGGCGCAAATCTATTATCTAGCATCTACCCAACAGCCTAGAAAGTGAATTTTGAATTTGAATTGTATTAGAGCAGTTAACTTGTATTTAACTTGACAATAGTACAGAAATGAATGCAATACTCTACTCATTGCAAAACTAGTTTTTAGAGAAGTACAGATGGTGATATATGGTACTTGCAGCCACAGCAAAATAAGTTATAAACAGGCATGCACTGCTGCTCCAAAACATGATGCTGTGCAAGCTAAATGTATCAAACAAAATCTTCATGTAACATCTGCACTTCACTCAATAACATATGATTGGTCTTTGATAGTGGAATAGTAATGTAGCTCTAACACAAACTGGTGGATGTGATGAGTCATTTTGGTCAGAGATTTACTGAACATGGAGTTGTCATATGGCAGCTTGGAAGTTGGAGCTTGCCCCCTATATGTTTAAACTTGCTTTTGCATTGACCCAACCTAAACAGCATCACTGTCAGTGGTATCTTCTCCTGCTAGTGAAGTGATGATAAAGAATGAAAGTATGGGTGATGGTGTACAAGATAGAAAGATGGTTCATTAAAGAGGTCATTTTGAATAAGATGGTAAGGGTAAGGTTAAGTTAGATAATTGAATAGCATTTGGAGGCTTAGACAAAGTATCTGAATGACAAAACTATCATATCATTGTCATTAGTAATGATACTGAAGGTCAGTGGTCAAACTCATTCACTGTAAGTCATGAGTGGATCTCCAATTCCTTTTGGATACAGATTTAATTTATAACTGTAGCACTCTGTCAGCACACCTGTGTCGTAATGACCCTCATTGTTTCAATTGTAATCAATATGTATTTCTTATAAGTGTCTGAGTTATTCACAGTCATAGCCACACACATATTTTTAACAGTTTTATAACTTTATGATGAGCTTATGATAATGATGATACAAACATACAGCTTGTCATGTGCCAAAGAAATTCTTGATTCTAAATTTGATCTGAATGTATCTTATTAAGTGTGTTGCCTTGTAGACATGCACTTAAAAGTTCCCCATGCTCAGGAGATAAGGAATGCCAGCCTCATACACTGCGGACGTGTCAGGCATTGCAGCTGCACTCGAGAGCAACTTCAAGCAGCAGCTGCACCGCGAGGCAGCCAGCGGAACATTAGTTCCAAGCAGCAACAACTCACAGGAAGATGCAGTCACTGATTCATGGGTGGACCAGATACTAGGCAATGAGGTGGGTTATCCTGTGACTAATGATTGAGTTGTTTGTGGTGAGTGTAGTGTGATGTGTTCACAATGTTATGATGAGGTATACTCATGTGTATATGGTGTGAGCTCAGTAGCTAGTTGGGCATCTGAGCAATGTGCTCTTATGAAGCACTGCAAAAGATAAATGTGAATACTTTTTTATTCAGTGAGTTTTTTTTTCTAATAACCAGTTATTCACATATTAAATACAATTTCCAATGTTAATGTTCAATTCCCTTATAATAATTTATTATGATGGAATTGAACATTTATTTTTTTCTCAGTTATTCACCAAGAAGATTGAGTACACGTGCCAGAAGGAACAGCAGTTCAATCGCCGCTGGTCTCTACCCAACCTCATGCATCTCAAGAAGGAAACTTGCCCCCAGAATGGGGTGCTATGCAACAACAACTACAAGAAAAATAATATACAGACTCCAGGCAAGACAAATAACAACAATATCATAAAGACTGGTGACATGAATAGAGTGTGCAAGAAGGATGATGAGCTGGAGGAGCCACGGACAGTGCTTTACAAGAAAGAGCGAGTACGCCTTGGATGGCTGCGGCCACCCACCCACCACTCCGGCCTGGCTAACCTTGGCAACACCTGTTACCTCAACTCATCCCTGCAGGTGTGTGGGGTGTTGGGTAGCCTGCTACCTTAACGCCTCCCTGAAAGTGTAAGACAGTGGATAGCCTGATACCTCAATGCATCCCTGCAAATGTGTGGGTTCCTTAATCAAAAAGACTATGGTTAAGCCTGTATAAAAGCTGATGATGCAAAGCATGATGTGGGGGGCAGGGGTTGTATGTAGAAGAGCTGTGTGGGGTGCAGGGGTTGTATGTAGAAGATCCCTGTGGTGTGGGGTGCAGGGGTTGTATGTAGAAGAGCTTGTTGCAGGGGTTGTATGTAGAAAAGCTGTGTGGTGTGGGTTGCAGGGGTTGTATGTAGAAGAGCTGTGTGGTGTGGGGTGCAAAGGTTGTGTGTTGGAACCTAAAGGGACAAAACGAACTTCTGCAGGTGCTGTTAAGGATTCAAAATTAAGCCCAATTCATTACAAGTTTAACCCTACAGGCGCTCTTCCACATCCCTGCACTGGGCAACTGGCTGGAGGAGGAGCGTGGTCAGCACCTGCAGCAGTGTCAGCAGTCTGGCATCAGCGCCTCCTTCTGCTCCCTCTGTGCTGTCATCTCCACCTACGTGCTCACACGTCAGCCCAGTCAGCAAGTCATCAAGCCCAACCTCATTGTCAGCAAGCTGAAGTGTCAGTATAGTAAATAATAATCAGCAGTTCAGGTGTTGTAACAATGTCAGGCACCTCGCCTCTCAGCAGTTCAGGTGTTGATACAATGTCAGGCACCTCGCCCCTCAGCAGTTCAGGTGTTGATACAATGTCAGGCACCTCGCCCCTCAGCAGTTCAGGTGAGGCACCTCGCCTCTCAGCAGTTCAGGTGTTGATACAATGTCAGGCAGCTCGCCTCTCAGCAGTTCAGGTGTTGATACAATGTCAGGCACCTCGCCCCTCAGCAGTTCAGGTGTTGATACAATGTCAGGCACCTCGCCCCTCAGCAGTTCAGGTGTTGATACAATGTCAGGCACCTCGCCCCTCAGCAGTTCAGGTCANCAGTCACGTTCCCCTCCCGTTTCAGTCACGTTCCCCTCCCGTTTCAGTCACGTTCCCCTCCCGTTTCAGTCACGTTCCCCTCCCGTTTCAGTCACGTTCCCCTCCCGTTTCAGTCACGTTCCCCTCCCGTTTCAGTCACGTTCCCCTCCCGTTTCAGTCACGTTCCCCTCCCGTTTCAGTCACGTTCCCCTCCCGTTTCAGTCACGTTCCCCTCCCGTTTCAGTCACGTTCCCCTCCCGTTTCAGTCACGTTCCCCTCCCGTTTCAGTCACGTTCCCCTCCCGTTTCAGTCACGTTCCCCTCCCGTTTCAGTCACGTTCCCCTCCCGTTTCAGTCACGTTCCCCTCCCGTTTCAGTCACGTTCCCCTCCCATTTCAGTCACGTTCCCCTCCCGTTTCAGTCACGTTCCCTTCCCGTTTCAGTCACGTTCCCCTCCCGTTTCAGTCACGTTTCCCTCCCATTTTAGTGACGTTTGCCTACCGTTTCAGTGACGTTCCCATCCCGTTTCAGTGACGTTCCACTCCCGTTTCAGTGACGTTCCTCTCCCGTTTCAGTGACGTTTCCCTCCCGTTCAGTGACGTTTGCCTCCCGTTTCAGTGACGTTCCTGTCCCGTTTCAGTGACGTTCCCCTCCCGTTTCAGTGACGTTCCCCTCCCGTTTCAGTGACGTTCCTATCCCGTTTCAGTGACGTTTGCCTCCCGTTTCAGTGACGTTTGCCTCCCGTTTCAGTGACGTTCCCGTCCCGTTTCAGTGACGTTCCCCTCCCGTTTCAGTGACATTCCCCTCCCGTTTCAGTGACATTCCCCTCCCGTTTCAGTGACGTTCCCCTCCCGTTTCAGTGTCGTTCCTCTTCCGTTTCAGTGACGTGCCCCTCCCGTTTCAGTGACGTTCCCCTCCCATTTCAGAGACGTTCCCATCCCGTTTCAGTGACGTTCCTCTCCCATTTCAGTGTCGTTTCCCTCCCGTTTCAGTGACGTTTGCCTCCGGTTTCAGTGACGTTCCCGTCCCGTTTCAGTGATGTTCCCCTCCCGTTTCAGTGATGTTCCCCTCCTGTTTCAGTGACGTTCCCTCCCGTTTCAGTGACGTTCCCCTCCCGTTTCAGTGACGTGCCCCTCCCGTTTCAGTGACGTTCCCCTCCCATTTCAGAAACGGTCCCCGCCCGTTTCAGTGACGTTCCTCTCCCGTTTCAGTGACGTTTCCCTCCCGTTTCAGTGACGTTTCCCTCCCGTTTCAGTGACGTTCCCCTCCCATTTCAGTGACGTTTTCCTCCCGTTTCAGTGACGTTTCTCTCCCTTTTCAGTGACGTTTCCATCCCGTTTCAGTGACGTTTCCCTCCTCAGGCACCTCGCCTCTCAGCAGTTCAGGTGTTGATACAATGTCAGGCACCTCGCCTCTCAGCAGTTCAGGTGTTGATACAATGGCAGGCACCTCGCCTCTCAGCAGTTCAGGTGTTGATACAATGTCAGGCACCTCGTCACTTAGCATTCCGTTGTCCTAGCATCGGCTTGTCGAGGTCTAGGAATAAAATTTATGGATCTTTTTTTTCAATTCAGAAATAAAATCCTTCTGTTCTGTCTTTCTCAATCCATAATTATTATGTATAAATATTGCTATTAATATGTCCTATATTTTCTGTATTTTGTCAACATAGTTAAGCGTTCTATGTATTGCAGGTATTGGCAAGACCTTCACGCTGGGCAGACAGGAGGACGCCCACGAGTTCATCAAGCTGCTGCTGGAGCACATGGAGCGCTCCTACCTCCTCTACAGGAGAGCCACCAAGCTGGACCACCTCTCCCGTCAGACCACGCCGCTCAATCAGATATTTGGAGGCTACCTCAGGCAGCAAGGTGGGTGCCTCTGCCCCTCATCCAGATATTTGAAGGATGTCCTCCGTTTCAGTGTGACGCTTCAGTCACACTTCTAACTGTGTCAGCTTATAACTGTGTCTAACTAACCATTTGCAGTGTCAGCTTCTTGTTATTTGTCCACCACGGCGTCATCCCGTTTCAGTGACGTTTCCCTCCCATTTCAGCGACGTTCTACTCCCATTTCAGTGACGTTCTACTCCCGTTTCAGCGACGTTCTACTCCCGTTCCCCTCCCGTTTCAGTGACGATCCCCTCCCGTTTCAGTCACGTTCCCCTCCCGTTTCAGTCACGTTCCCCTCCCGTTTCAGTCACGTTCCCCTCCCGTTGCAGTCACGTTCCCCTCCCGTTTCAGTCACTTGACGTTTCCCTCCCGTTTCAGTGACGTTCCCCTCCCATTTCAGTGACGTTTTCCTCCCGTTTCAGTGACGTTTCTCTCTCTTTTCAGTGACGTTTCGCTCCCGTTTCAGTGACGTTTCCCTCCCATTTCAGTGACGTTCCTCTCCCGCTTCAGTGACGTTTCCCTCCCGTTTCAGTGACGTTCCCCTCCCATTTCAGTGACGTTTTCCTCCCGGTTCAGTGACGTTTCTCTCCCTTTTCAGTGACGTTTCCATCCCGTTTCAGTGACGTTTCCCTCCAATTTCAGTGACGTTTCCCTCCCATTTCAGTGACGTTTCCCTCCCATTTCAGTGACGTTCCTCTCCCGTTTCAATGACGTTTCCCTCCCGTTTCAGTCACGTTCCCCTCTCGTTTCAGTCACGTTCTCCTCCCGTTTCAGTCACGTTCCCCTCCCGTTTCAGTCACGTTCCCCTCTCGTTTCACTTACGTTCCCCTCCCGTTTCAGTGACATGCCCGGCGTGCGGCCACGTCTCGACGACGTTCTCACATTTCCAAGACCTGGTGCTGGACATACGCTCCTCCGCCAGCCTCGACCAGGCGCTCGACCAATACTTCCGTCAGGAGACTCTCGACGCCCACAACTGCTACAGGTGCTGTTGACAGACTAGGGCATCTGTTGACAGGGGCTAGGGCATCTGTTGACAGGGGCTAGGGCACCTGCTGACAGGGGCTGTTGCACCTGTTGACAGGGGCTGGCTGTGGGTTCGAGCCTCGGGAAGCTCAGCTCATTTCTGGTGTCGCTAGTGAGCGGTGCTTGCTCATCGTCGAGGGTGATGCTAGCAGCGTGGCCTAGGGCTGGTATCCCTAAATCCCTAGAACTCTAGCAGGCTGCAATTCTAGGATAGTGCATAAAGTTACTTTACTATTTGGAGGGAGACATGTCCCTTTCCTGCTGTGATTTGTTGAGATGTCTTCCTCTCCAGAGTGTGATTGGTTATGTGATGGCCTTTTCAATATACGCCATGTGTCTTTGGTCAATTAAAACCCCGCTAGAATTCTAAAATGAACTCTGGGTACCTGTTACCTGGAGGATCTTAAGGGTTTTATTTGCCTTTATTCCAACAACCGCCACAATAATTTGGGTACCTGTTACCTGGAGGATCTTAAGGTTTTTATTTGCCTTTATTGCAACGACCGCCACAATAATTTCTATGCTCTATTGTCACAGGTGTGAGCGCTGCAAGAAGAAAGTCCCTGCCACCAAGGGCTCGCTGATAGAGCGCCCGCCCAACGTGCTGCTGCTGCAGCTGAAGAGGTGGGGGTGAAGGGGGTTCTGGACTAAGGCGCTGGGCGGGGACTCTGGTGGCTTGACAGGGAGCTGGGGCGTTCTGGAAATTTGGGGTGGGGTTTGAGGGGTTCTGGGGGGGGGGCTGCTCGAGTGTGAGTTGAGGGTTTGAGTGGGAACTACGCTTGGGTGGGCGCTGGGATGAACTTTGGCTTATAATGGGAAGAACTGGGGGAGCTTAACGTTCTGCTGGCACCGTTCGGCTTAACGTTCTGCTTCAATTAGGTGGTGATCTTAGGGACTAATGTCTCGGCGGGTGTGTGGCTGTGAGGGCGTGGCACCTGATAGATGTAACTCTCTAATGATCTAGTTCATTACCTCCATAACCTCTTACCCTCATGCCCCTCACCACCCTTCATTGCCCCCCTCACCACCCTTCATTGCCTCCTCACCACCCTTCATTCCCCCCCTCTCCCCCTCACCACCCTTCATTGCCCCCTCACCACCCTTTACCACCCCTCACCACAGGTTCACGTTCAACGGCTGCAAGATCGGCAAGCACATCAACATAGACCGCGTAGTGGACCTGACGCGTTTCCTGACGCGACGGGGGGGCGGCGCCCCTGGGGCGTTGAGGTACCGCCTGGTGTCGATGGTGGTGCACTTGGGAGGGTCGCAGCACGGGGGGCACTACATCGCCTGTGCTGAAGGAGGCGCCGGACACATGCTCGAGTTCGACGACTGCTCAGTCAGTGGCTGCTCACATTCTCTTACTTTGTTTCCTGAGGCTTTTTTTTCCTACTTCGAACGTTATTTTATTGTCAGTTATTTCTCCTTGTTTTCTGTCTGGTGAAGCTAATACCTCTTCCTTGTGGAGTTAATTAGCTTTGTTTCATTTACTTTAGCAATTATTCCCTCTTATTCTCTTCTTGTGAAGTTACCTAACTTTGTTACATTTACTTCAGCAGGTATTCCCTGTTGTTCACTTTAATTTTTCAGCCACTCTTCCCCATTTCCAGCTTGGCAGTTGTAGCCGACTTGTGCTCGTTGTAGCCGATCCTGAATGACAGCGTTTGACAAGTTGGTTGTTGTTCTACGTAGAACTTTTCCCACACTCTCAAAACTTATTTAGGTATATACATATTGTGACCTAAGTACACATAACAAACTAAGTACAAGTAGTGACCTTGTTTCATGTAGGGGACTAATTACTCGTAGCTGCCTTAGCAAATACGGTGGCCTACATAGTCTTATAGGCGAATTTCCATCAGAGTGCCGTCAAACTCTTCACTATTTTTGACACCTATTTTAAAGGCCCCAGGACACGAGAAAAATCCACTTTTATCTGGCCTTCAATAAATAGCTACCCATTGTAAGTGTTATTAACATGACAGATCCTCTGACTTGTTCTACATTCATTCATGACACATAACAATATTAAATAAATAAAAAGACCTCAACAGACATCTTCATTCCAAAGTCCATATTATGATTTATGCAATGTCACCTAAAGTGCTGATTACCTTTTTTGTCTTTCATATCGAATCTGTATTTGAGGAATCTTCTTCACATAGGTTAGAAGTGTCAATTTTATTATAGTCATGTATCAACTCTATGTTTAGCATCAGTATCAATACTACTGTTGCTTTAATCTACTTTTACTGTAGTACTCTCTCCGAGTGAATATCAGGAAAAAGCACATTGGTCTTAAAAACCCGTACTTTTTCAGAGAGATTCACATGTACAATGCTGATTGCTGGCGAATCAAATCCCTCCAGTTGGTTTATAGGCACCGTGTTGACCACAAATATCCCTCTTCCCCAGGTCCGTTCTGTGGGGCTACAGTCGGTGCTGCTCCGCAACCCCTACATCCTCTTCTACGAGCTCATCAAGCAGCCTCAACAACCCCAGTCTTCTCCAGTGGGCAGCAAGGACGTCGTGCGTCCCTGCAACAACGCCACTCTAACCAGGCCCATCGTCCTCACCAGGCAGGTGGCCCCAGAGCCTTTTTAGAGCCCCAACATGCTGGTCCAGGCCAGGGTTGGCGATTTTTTTGATTTTTTTAAAAAAATCAAAAAAATCAAAAATCAATGATTTTTTTGATTTTTTCATGATTTTTTTGATTTATTTGATTTTTTTGATTTTTTCAGCTTTTTTGTATTTTTTGAGGTGTTATTTTTTATGTTGCAATTATAAGTCTATTCATTAGCTTTGTCAAGTTTGTATGGAGCAAGGTAATGAGCTAAATATTGACCATTTAACTGGCTTCAATATGCAAAAACACTTCAGGAATGCAGATCTTCTAAACATTGAACAGTCACATAACAGATAGGTAGCTGATAGCTCAGTGCACAGCACTATCAATAGATCCACTAGTTTTATGTCCTATAAATCTACCAGACTCTACCCTCTATACACACCGACTAGTAGTGACTGTAGCTGATAGCACAGTGCACAGCACTATCAATAGATCCACTAGTTTTATGTCCTATAAATCTACCAGACTCTACCCTCTATACACACCGACTAGTAGTGACTGAGTGACTGACTGCACTATTCCCATTTAATTCAGACAAATAAACCAATACTAAAAATAAACTGAACGATGACCAAACAAACCTCATACGACTTGAAACGAGACTTAAGTTATGAGAAAAGCTAACACTGTTTGAAATAAACATGTGCACAATTCAAATATTTTATATCCATTCACTGCATTTAATTATTTTATATATCGTCTTATAATTGTAATTGTTTCTAGTTTTAAATTCACACATTTAACGATTGAAATTAAATATTTCAATTAGAATACTCGTATTAGGGTGGAAAATCTTTCTATTTGCCTAAAAGTTCAATACAATCTCAACCTCTCAATGTACAGGGTGGAGCAGAACCGATTGAGTAGTTTTGAGGTAAAATAAAAGAGTAATGGAAGTACATAAAGAAGAAAGTTTATTTTCCTAGAGGTTAGCATAACATACCATTTAGAATACTTATGTTTCGAAAACAATATCTGGAAGATGGGGGCTGTTAGCTGCAACACACTGTTGGGAGTCGTTCTCAGAGGAGGGAGTAACCTTAAGGGGAGCGTCTACCCTAAAATTGAAAATTTTTACTTTTTCGGTTTTTATACTAATTTTAAAGCTGACATTCTGCCCTATCCAACGGTACCACTGCCATCTCTCTACGTTGATCTATGATTTCACGACATTTCATGAAAGGGGGGCGGGTGGGGGAGTTCTTTAAGTAATTAGATAGGAACTAATTAGCTGCTGAGCTCTTTAAATATAGTGTCCACTTGAGTTGTGCTGCAGTTACGTGTTTAGTCTCATCTTAAAGCTGACATTCTGGCCTATCCAATGGTACCACTACCATCTCTGTACGTCGATTTTCACGTACACGACACTTCATGAAAGGGGGGCGGGGGGAGGAGTTCTTTCAGTTATTAGATACGAGATAATTAGCTGTCCACCACTACAAATATAGTGTTTTTGTGAGGTCTGACTCAGTGTGCCTCCGGGCTTTGTAGTTAGAGATGCGCATGTAGTTGCTCCCATCATCCTTGAGTGGAATCAAGCTCCAGAAACGTTTAGTTTGGAATCTATGCTACATTGAGCGCATATTGTGGCGCGCGCGGGACTTTGTCGCGCTCTCCTCAACATTCACACTTATTGTCACGGAAAACCTATCTCCTAGAGTTTTGAAGCTACAACAATGAGACATATACCATTCGATTTGCAATTGAAATATCTAGAGATTCGTCGTAGCTTTTTTTAAATTTCATTATAGTTTCGAAAATATTTTGAAAAAAGGGAAGGGAAATTGGGGAAAATCGAAAAATTTTTGAAAATTTTGGGAAAAATGCTCCCACATCCACAAAAATTCGAAATTCGAAAAAAGCTACGACGAATCGATAGATATGGTCCTTACGCATCGAATGATATGCGTCTCGATGTTGTAGCTTGAAAATTCTAGGAGGAGATAGATTTCTACAGTACCCCCTTTTTTGGCCGTTTTCTAAGAATTTCACGTTTTCTTTNTTATGAACCCTCCTTAGTGCCCCAACATGCTGGTCCAGGCAATTATGAACCCTCCTTAGTGCCCCAACATGCTGGTCCAGGCAATTATGAACCCTCCTTAGTGCCCCAACATGCTGGTCCAGGCAATTATGAACCCTCCTTAGTGCCCCAACATGCTGGTCCAGGCAATTATGAACCCTCCTTAGTGCCCCAACATGCTGGTCCAGGCAATTATGAACCCTCCTTAGTGCCCCAACGTGCTGGTCCAGGCAATTATGAACCCTCCTTAGTGCCCCAACATGCTGGTCCAGGCAATTATGAACCCTCCTTAGTGCCCCAACATGCTGGTCCAGGCAATTATGAACCCTCCTTAGTGCCCCAACATGCTGGTCCATGTCATTCATGGTCTACTTAATGTTCCATCGTGATTGTTTAGGCCGTTCGTGAAGCCTGGTTTGAGTCCAATATGTTCTACATTGAAATCATGTTGTTGTGCACCTTAGTTATGATGAAATTGACAAAATATTGCGTTAATGACGTCTTAGTCCCTATCGTGTTTTTATGTGCCACTTGTTTATTGAATTTTGTATTTTCAGCAAAATTAATTGTAAAAAGTCATCACCATTGAGCAACGGAACCAACGACTTGGGTGAAGTCGTGCCAAGAACTCCTACCTCACCTGCTGCAGCTTCTGTAGCAGTCTTACCTCCTCCCAAACAAAGGTCGGTTCATTGCAGCAATGAACTTAATTTACAATTGTGTCTAATGGCGAGTGTTGGTGCATCAGTCCAATATCAGGTCACTCATTAATGTGCATTGTCTTGCTGACGGCAAAGATCTGAGAGTGTATGGTTTGTATCAGGCTTTTTTGCCCTGTTCTGAAACGCGAGTGGTTCTGTCATTGAGTGGTGAGAGCGCCATTCACTGATGGCCTCTGCAATGCTGCCCTTCAATGAGTGGTGCTTTCACCGCCTGTGAGTGGTGCTGTCACCGCCTGTGAGTGGTGCTGTCACCGCCTGTGAGTGGTGCTGTCACCGCCGGTGAGTGGTGCTGTCACAGCTGGTGAGTGGTGCTGTCACCGTCTGTGAGTGGTGCTGTCACCGCCTGTGAGTGGTGCTGTCACCGCCGGTGAGTGGTGCTGTCACAGCTGGTGAGTGGTGCTGTCACCGTCTGTGAGTGGTGCTGTCATGTGTAACGTTTGCTGTCATGTGTGACGTCTGCTGTCATGTGTGACGTCTGCTGTCACGTATGACGTTTTCTGTTATATGTAACGTTTTCTGTTCTTTCAGAGAGCGCATCACATTTGACATGAAGGCAGCTCCCCTCGCCCGAAACAAAATGATCGTAAGAACCAACGTCCCGCTGCTCAACCCCAAACTCCTTTCCTCCAGTTCTGCGACCTCCTCATCCCCGACCTCGTCTACTCATTCTCTTTCTTTAGCAGTTTCTAATACTTCTACGTCCCTCATCTCCTCCACCACTCCTTCCACCACCAACTCCTCCTCAACTCCTTCCACCTCCTCCGTTTATTCAGCTTCCGCTTCCTCCGCTCTTCTCGCATCCTCCTCTTGTGTTCCTTCCATCTCCACCCACACTCCTTCCACTTCCTCCTCTTCCACCCCTTCCACCTCCACCTCCTCCAAGACATTCAGCCCTCCAGTCAAGAGCTGCAACTCCGTGAGCAAGCTTAACTCCATAGGTTATTTACTGTCTACTCAAAAGAAAGTTCTGACTTCAATAAAAGCCGTCGATGCAGTAGAGAACAAAAGCCTGGTTCCCTATGTCGATGATTCGGATGCTTCTGAGAATGATGATGTAAGCATTGATGATAAATGCCAAGTTTCAAGTTCAGAAAAATCTCAACCTGCACCGAGTGCTGATGTTTCAAGGCTTCCCTCTAAAGATGATAAAACTCCCAAGCTAACTTGTACTAAACAGAAGAACTCTCAGGTATCCTCCTCCAGTTCTGCCACTCCTGTGAAGATGAACCAAACGTTGTGCAAGAATCAGTTATTAATTAGAAAGAAAATCCAGAGTAATTTCACTGAACCATATCCTGAAACTCAGACTCAGGTTTCATTGCCCATGAATGGCAAGGTCAAGTCAAAGACCAAAGCAGAAGTGGTGAGCTCAAGCAACAAGACTAGCGATGGTTGGGTCGTGTCAGACTCCAGCGACGACGGCAGTAACGCTTCCAACTCCTCAACCTGTTCAGGGAGCACTAACTTCACAGTCACTGAAAACCGCCCTACAAACGTCGCCAAGAAGATCGTAGAGTCGGCGGACTGCAATGGCTGGAAGGTTACTAAAAGAAAAGAGATTAATGATAAAGATGTTAATCAAACTACACAGCCTGATAAAAACGGCAAGGCGTCCAAGGGCCTCATGTCTTATATTTCGTGCATCTCAGGTACTGAGGACTCCCCCTTGAATGCCTCTGAAAACAGAGGGTCTGCAACTGCGACCAAAAAACCTCATGCTTTCTCAAACATTCTAAAAAATTCTCTTTGTAATGGAACAAGTACACAGTCTCCCGCCAACACTTCAGTGAAATTGAAATTAAATGGCTCCAAAAAGCTTATTCATTGTAACGGCACAAGCGGGTCTTCTCTTTCTGAAGAAGGCGCTGCGCCTTCTATGTCTAATGGTGGTGGTATTTTGGCCTCAATTAATGGAGATTCTACTGCTACCAGTAATGGCACCAGTATTCCTGCTATCAGAAATGGTGTCAGTTCTTCCACTAATGGCGCTGATGGGTCATCACCCTCCTCCCATAGTATAGACAAAAGAAAAAGCGGCGATGTTAGCACGAGAAACGAAACGGCGGCCTGCGTTCACCAGGACGCCCCTGCCAAGACCAAGCTTGCCTGGGACCGCCACGTGAAAGGCGACCTCGCCTACACCCTGACGAGCCACAGAAACAAACACGACACACAAGACGACAAGAGCGACGTGCAAAGCAGCAAACACAAGGCAGCACTGCAGGTCGTGTGGCATCCCGAAGGAGATGAGGGCGAGCGCGCTCTGCATGCGCTTAAGTCGTCCTCCTCCTATGTCTTTGGCGCTAAGGGTGAGTCTTGACTACGTGTAGGTGGGTCTCGACTGCTGATAAGTGGGCCTTGGCAGCGGTTAGGTGGGCCTTGGCTGCGAGTAGGTGGGTTATGAGCTTTTTTAGGAGCTCACTGCTGCGTGTAGGTCTTAGGTTTCTGAAGCCTTATGTCGCTTGCAGGGAAGTCATTGCTTTCATTATTTTAAGTTACTGAGGCACGGGTGTTGGGTTACTGTGGCACGGTTGTAGGAGTTACAGTAAGCACAGCAGTAAGACTTCATTATTTAATGCCTGTGCAGTGAGCACCTGGGACGGTGGGGACAGCGAGCTGGACGTACAGAAGAGCCGCGACGTGGCGGCGGCACTGAGGAGGACGGAGCATGAGCGCTACAACGACCAGCTCGACGAGGAGCGGGTGAGTGCGGGGCAAACGGCGCGTGTGGTGGCAGGAGGAGTGAGGCGGGGCAAACGGCGCGTGTGGTGGCAGGAGGGGTGAGTGTGGGGCAAACGGCGCGTGTGGTGGCAGGAGGAGTGAGTGCGGGGCAAACGGCCGGCGCGTGTGGTGGCAGGAGGGGTGAGTGTGGGGCAAACGGCGCGTGTGGTGGCAGGAGCAGTGAGTGCGGGGCAAACGGCCGGCGCGTGTGGTGGCAGGAGGGGTGAGTGTAGGGCAAACGGCGCGTGTGGTGGCAGGAGGGGTGAGTGCGGGGCAAACGGCGCTTCTAATGGAAGAATTGTGCCCCCATGAAACGCTGTTCTATTGGAGTGTTGCTCTTCATTTCCCGCTTTTTGGGGTATTGCAGTGTTTGCAAAAATTCATGTTAAAGCTCTCACTCGGGTAAGGTCTTTATCGAGCCGATAACAACCTAAACAAGTTATCATTTTATAAGTTGCTGCAACAATGCAAAACATGAAACACAATATAGCCACACTTTTTCATACTAAGTTGTTTATTTGTTGTGCAGCAGCGAAAGCGCAAGACGCCCTTCGACCTGGAGGCGACGCAGCACAAGAAGCGGCGTTTCGACACCTACGTCCGCCACTCCGCCGTCAGTGACGGCGGCGGCGGCGGTGGGAATCCCAATCTCATACGGTTGGGTGGCGGGGCTAATGGTAATGGCTGGAACGCTGGGTACGGTGGCGACAAAAAACGCTTCAATGGCGGATTTCATTACGGCCATGGCGGCGGCGAGTACCGGGGCTCCGGTAGACGTGGTTTTGACGGTCACCGCAGAGGCGGCGGTCGACCGTGGCGGGGTGGCGGTGGCAAGAGGTGGGGTGGTGGGCCTTTCAACCTCAGGCGGTGAGGCGCTTATAAGCTCAGCGTCAGGAGCTGAGAGCGATTTATTTATTTGCTGACGACATTTGTTACGAGAGGATGACAGTCGTCTGTGTCTTGCTGTGTGAGGCTCACTGTTGCTGTGTGAGGCTCACTGTCTTGCTGTGTGAAGACCGTGTGAGGCTCACTGTTGCTGTGTGAGGCTCACTGTCTTGCTGTGTGAGGCTCACTGTCTTACTGTGTGAGGCTCTCTGTCTTGCTGTGTGAGGGCCGCGTGAGGCTCACTGTCTCGCTGTGTGAGGGCCGTGTGAGGCTCACTGTCTCGCTGTGTGAGGGCCGTGTGAGGCTCACTGTCTCGCTGTGTGAGGGCCGTATGAGGCTCACTGTCTCGCTGTGTGAGGCTCACAGTCTCGCTTTGTGAGGGCCGTGTGAGGCTCACTGTCTTGCTGTGTGAGGCTCAATGTCTTGCTGTGTGAGGGCCGTGTGAGGCTCACCGTCTCGCAGTGTGAGGGCCGTTTGATGCTCACTGTCTCCCTGTGTGAGGCTCACTGTCTCGCTGTGTGAGGCTCACTGTCTTGCTGTGTGAGGGCCGTGTGAGGCTCACTGTCTTGCTGTGTGAGGACCGTGTGAGGCTCACTGTATTACTCTATCGCTCTTCTGCGATTATGATTGCATTTATAGCGAGTGTTTGTAGACGCGTATCATCTCTTTCTATTAACTCAAATTAATTTAATGTTCAGTTTTTTATTCTTTGCTTCATTGTTGACGTTTTGCCCCACGTGTGATACATTTGTACAGTTCACTTCACCTCCCTGGTGCTACTTTGTACATAGCTGCAATTATGTTCGTACGGATAAACAGACATTTAAATGGAGGGTAACTATGTTTACTATGTAGAAAAACATCTTGTGCCCTGACACTAGTGTATACACTCGGCTATGTAGGTACTGTGTACACTGTACAGGCCTCTTATTTCAGGGTAACGATGTAGGCACGAGTGTTACTTCAGGTCACGTGTGTTATTTATTCTAGGCGTCATCGTCGTTACCAGTTGTTACCGTTATCATGTCACTTTTTAATAGCTTCAGTTTCTACGGATAACTTTGTAAATCAACTTTGGCGGAAACTTCTAAGAAGTATTGCAGTTTGTTGCCATTGAATCGTTTGGTTGTATAGTTCATATTGATTACTTTGAAGCGAGTGTCCACTCATGAGGTGATAGTATCAGCAAGTGTGCGCTGTGCGCGTTGAAAGAGTTTCTGTGAAGCCGGTGCGCATAATGACTGTACAATACAGTGTGTTCAGTGCCACCAGGCTGTACAATGTGACATGGCTTTACAGTCACTGTACAGCGCCAGAGGTTGTATAGTCACGGTACACTGGAAAAAGGCAAACTATATTTTGTACACCCAATGCCTGCTCGAATAAACGTGCATTGTAACTTTTGTTTCTTTGTGATCGTCCTTATATAGGCGCAGGTTGCGTGTAATCCAAGTTGGATATATCGTCTCAGCGGCGTGTCACACTTGACGGCTCGCATCCAAACAACGTACGGTATTGCATCTAATAACTTTACCTTACCCAATCATACTCAACAAATATATGGTAATAAATCCCTACAAATCGTAACGTCTGACCAGTTTTAACTGACAAGCGGCGAGTACGGAATGCGACCTTTGTTATCGACGGTCCATGCCAGAATATTGTAATGTAGACTATCCTTCATCGGGTTCGTTTTCTTCTCGCGGATACTTCAAACGTTAATGAACGCGAACAATTTACCTAACATAACATAGCGATGTCGACACTGAAGAGTGGGCCAGTTGTGGCCTGTCGCCGATTCTTGCACTTATCGTTCACGGAAGATCCAAAAGCATGTCCATTGACCGGTCCGGTATTTTTCAAGACTGTCGATAGTTTGAAATAGCTACTAGACTTCCACCGGGATATGGTGCTAGGCATTTCAAGTCTGAACATATATTCTTTCATAGCTTTAGTCTGTTCTTGAACGCGCTTATACTCGGAGCGTCAATAATGTAATCGGGGAGGCTGTTCCACATGTCAGTGACTCGGAGAGAAGAAATGTTGTCGCGTGGACGAGTTGCAACGCAGTTTTTTTACTTTACTGTCGTGGCCCCTGGTGTTGGTTCTTGTTTCAAATTATTGTAATCCTTCTTGGACCTTGTACAAACTATGAATATACTTCAATGAGGTTCCCACGCAGACTTTGAGAACAGAGGCTTGGAAGCTTCGTAATCTTTACTCTTTTTTCATAGGACCTGCCCTTCAAGCCTGAAATTATCCTTTTTGCACGTCTTTGAGCGCTATTAAATTTTTTTCCTTTTCAAGTCTCGGTGACCACTCGGCGTTTCCAAACTCTAGGTTCGGGAGCACGACAGCAACTAACAACCGTTTCATCGCTTCTGCATCTAGGAACTCGTACGAGCGTCTGATCAGACCAAGAAGTTTGTTGGATTTATTAACATGCGTTTCAACATGCTTAGAAAATTTCAGCTACTTATCGACATAAACTCCGAGATCTTTTCCCATACTAGAATTTTCAATCATTGCTCTCTCGTTGCAACCATGTCTTCTCATACTGTAATCTTGCTGTTCATTTTTCTTCCCGAGGTGAAGTACTTTACAGTTTACACTTGTCTGCATTAAAACGCAGCTTCCACCTATCAGCCCAGTTAACCAAACTGTCGAGATCATCTTGTAATTGCGCTTTATTTATCGCATCCTTCCCTGTATTATAAACTTTTGTGTCGTCGGCATACATTGAGCACACGCTGGACACTACTTCTGGTAGATCATTTATAAAAGTAACGAACAAAATAGGCCCCAGGACGCTTCCTTGTGGCACGCCACTGCGCACTGAATCCCAGTCTGATCACGGTTCCGTTAATACTGACACGTTGTCGTCTTCACTCGTCTATCGCTGATCCATTGGAGTACGTTTCCCTCAATTCCCAAAGACTTCACTTTACGTAACAGCCGCTCATGCGGAACACTGTCAAATGCTTTGGCAAAATCGAGGTACAATGCATCCACTGGCTCCCTTTCGTCCAACAGGCGAGTCCAATCGTTCAACGTAGATAATAAGTTAGTGGTGCACGATCTACCGGCAATAAAACCATGTTGACAATCTGATAGATGGCGAACAGTCAAGTAATCAATAATCCTATATCTCACAAGTCACAACAGAGTCAATTATCTTACAAACAACACTTGTCAGACTGAAAGTGGAACGTGGAATTCGACGATAAGTTTTCACACTTCTCTTTTTATGTGAGCAGATGAAGTTGTGAGAATGGGTACAGGGGTAAGTCCTCCGACCAGAAGACCGGCGTGCGGCTTCGGCAGTGACTAAGTGTTACTACGAACAGCCTATAATGTTACATACTAATGAAGCCTTCAGCCTCCAGTGGTGAGGCTGAGTGGCACCACTTATCGACGCCCATCCCATGCTTAATTCAACCATGGCCCATGGCCCATCCTACGAATGTATTTCAGAATATAAAAGTTATTCCTTTGATAAAGTCGTTTTCTTAAGTAGACTCGTTCAAGAAAAAAAGTTTTATGGTTAACAATTTTATTTATTGACCTATCCGTGTACTTTGCGAGAATATAATCGCTGACCTAAGGTTTACTCTGCCTGCAATCTCGCTCCACAATGTCATTTAATTGCATCAATTTTGACATTTACTACCAATTGTTTCATTAACTTGGTGGTTGGTACTTAAGGCTAGGTATTTTTTTGGTTAACTTTGGTTTCAACCCATCATTTACGGACAAAAATGCTGGGCCTCTACGTCGGTTAGGTTGGGCGCTATAAATAATAATAATAATAGCGGTTTCAGCGCGTCATAGGCAGTAGCCCTCTCCCCGATTCTTAACATATAGAACATTCTCAGTTTGTTCCGGCCTAGAACATGCAACTCAGCTCCAATTTTGCTGTGCTTAAATGCCCGGCCACCACACTGATTTGACCATAACGCTGTCGCAGATAGCTGGTATCGAACCCACAACTTACTGCACCAATCCTGTTACTCTGAAATGTAGTTACTGGGCGACCCTTTCTTAAAATATAGTCACAACTGGCTCACTAAGTCCTCGATGAATAGCATATGCAAGACGACATTGTGCGCCATAATCTCTGGCGATGGCTGCAGTTTCTGAACAAAGCGTGTCGGAGTAGACGCTATATTTTATGAATGAAGCTCGCTAAGGAATACGGGTGCAGAATTTCAAGAATAGCAACAACATATGTAAAGAATTTTTGTAGATAATCTCGAATATTGTCTGAGTTTATGATGAATATATCTGGTGGACCTTCCTGAAACAGAACCTCTTGAATTGATTTATATGGAAACATCACTCAAGTAATATTAAAATATCAACAAGAAGGCAAATAAAAAACCAGCTCACAATATCATATATTTTTTAGCACAGTCATTATGTTGAAATGTTTCTACTGACTGAATGTTGATAAATGCCTCCATTTACATTGTGTTAATAAATGCCTTCACGTATAATCTAATTTTGCACTTTCTTTATTACACCCGTTGGCTTAAGACAATGCCTAATACGCCCATTGGCATTGACCTTCTTGTTAGATAAACTACTTGTATGACACGACAGCTTGCTGGAACATGTCCTCAGTGGTGCTGCAGTACCCTGAGGTACACGCCCCACTGGAACATGTCCTCAGTGGTACTGCAGTACCCTGAGGTACTCTCATCTAGTCAATCATCGATCCTGTAGTCAAGCGTTTATAGTCAAGTAGTCAAGTCAATTATGTATAGTCTGATAAAATCTTTGCTCACTAGTCAGCCTTGACTATCTAGTGAACTCCTTACAGCTCACTAGTCAGCCTTGACTAACTAGTGAACTCTTTACAGCTTTCTAGCCAACCTTGATTATCTAGTGAACTCTTTACAGCTCACTAGTCAGCCTTGACTGTCTAGTGAACTCCTTACAGCTCACTAGTCAGCCTTGACTAACTAGTGAACTCTTTACAGCTTTCTAGCCAACCTCGATTATCTAGTGAACTCTTTACAGCTCACTAGTCAGCCTTGACTGTCTAGTGAACTCCTTACAGCTCACTAGTCAGCCTAGACTATCTAGTGAACACTTTACAGCTCTCTACAAAACTTAGCTACTCTCTTCTTTCTGCCTAACTCATGGAACTCATTACATTAGGTTAATCCTTAACTCTACCTAACTTTATTTAAACCTTTACCCCTGGTAGGGCAGTAGGAACGTTTTCTAATTAGTATCGATTGCTGAACTCATTTATTGTATATTAATATTGTGTTCATCCATGAAATAAAAAAGGTTTGGCTAAAATTGGCTTAGTAAGTCCGTGACAAATTATTAATTTACACAAATTCTGTTCAGAATTTTAGGCTGAGCCTAAAATTCTGACTGCCAAATCATTTAGCCGACATCTTTTATATTTTAACGCTGGCAATAGCTACCGTGCATACCTAAATATTTTAATGTCTGTAGTAGTGGTAGAAGTAGTGGTAGTAGTAGAAGTAGTGGTAGTAGTAGAAGTAGTGGTAGTAGTAGAAGTAGTGATAGTAGTAGGAGTAGTGGTAGTAGTGGAAGTAGTGGTAGTAGTGGAAGTAGTGGTAGTAGTAAAAGTAGTAGAAGTAGTGGTAGTAGTAGTAGTAGTGGTAGTAATAGAAGTAGTGGAAGTAGTGGTAGTAGTAGAAGTAGTGGTAGTAGTAGATGTAGTGGTAGTAATAGAAGTAGTGGTGGTAGTAGATGTAGTGGTGGTAGCAGAAGTAGTGTTTGTAGTGGCAGTAGTGGTAGTAGTGTAGTAGTGGCAGTAGTAGTAGTGTTAGAAGTAGTGGCAGTAGTGTAGTAGTAGAGTAGTGGTAGTAGTGGTAGTAGTAGAAGTAGTGGTGTAGTAGTGGTAGTAGTAGAAGTAGTTGTGATAGTAGTGATAGAAGTGATAGTAGTGGCAGTAGAGTAGTAGTGGTACGAGTACCGCAGGAGAGAAACCACTGCCCGAAAAGATTATCCCGAAATGCCACTTCTGAATTGTGGTTGGACGTCGGTGCTCCGGCTAGTAGCGCAGGCATACTCGCAGTGGAGGATATATAGGTTATTAGTACACTTATTAAGCACATACATCGAGCTTACATTCAGCTGCAACAAGTCGAACAAAATATGTCCACGAAGCACATGGCAAACCTGTACACGTCTACACAGTACTTGTAAACACAGCACATGTCAAAAATATGCGAAGCAGGCTTATAATATTATTGAATTACACTTCATCTATTTGTAGCTTAGCACATTCTATCTAATTTCAGTTTAAATTAGTTACTCTTAAGCATGGTTGTATTGTTATTGTTGATGTAATTTCACTCATTGTCATGAATAATTTGATTGTATTATCAAATTGATACAAAATATTAGTTAGAATTTTTTTTTATAATTTTACATAAAAAACAAGCTTTGTTTTAAACGAAGTTATTTCTTTGTAAAATTTATGTACACAATTATAGATACCTACCAGAGTAGGAGAGTAGGATAATAATGATAATAATGACAAAGAAATGCGCGATGCCCTGTTAAAGGCACCGCGATCCGAGGCGCCAGAGAGACTACGACAGCATATCTTACCACTGGTGACCTCAACCTTGCCCCAACGCATTAACTGGGTTGCAACCACTACACTCCTGCAGAGACAACACTCCACCGCATAACAGATGTCATAACCGCTATTTGTCGCAATATCACAGCATAATACGGGTTGTAACACCTACGCTGTTGCAGAGACGACACTCCACCGCATAACACATGTTATAACCGCTATTCGTCGTAATATCACAGCATGACACGGGTTGTAACACCTACGCTGCTGCAGCATCGTAAAGCTAACTTTAAACACGGGTAGGAATCTCTGGCCGTGTCGCTATTATACATGTTAAGACCACCTGGGCCCGTTGTAAATGCTTCCATGTTCTACATTAGCGCAATTTCTGACACTAAGCAGTCTTGCCCAGCCGAAGAGTTCTTTGCAAACGGGCCAACTTAGTTTACCAGTTTAGTTTAGTCACCAGTCACCATAAAACGATAAAAAACAAGATTAGTCAGTTCCCCCTTACTGCATGTGGCACCATAATAATATCAGTGAGTTACCCTTACTGTTTGAGACATCATAATAATAATTTTAGTGAGTTACCCCTTACTGTTTGAGGCATCATAATAATAATATNAATAATATTGGCGAGTTATCCCTTACTGCATGTAGCATCATAATAATAATATTAGTGAGTTTCCCTTACTGCATGTAGCATCAGAATTATATAAGTTCGTAACCCTTTACCTTTACTTCATGTGGCAAGCTAATAATATTAACGAGTTACCCCTTTAGAGCGTCTTCGAAACAAACTTTACTTTTTGCTCCGTTAACCTGCTACATATAAATTCTTAATTATGATGTCGATTTATTTATCATCAATTGTGAGACATAAAAAAATTGAAAAATGTTAACAAAATACTTTTTTCTGAATGCCCTTTATCAATCTGCTTGACGTAGTAACATTAACCCAGCTCTGTATTTATTGGATTTATCCACTCTGTGAGGCTGAAATGATAAATAAATTTCATCATCACGTTCATTGTTACTCAGATATTTATAGAGGGCCTGTAGCTAGCTGTGTTTCTTCCTCTCGTACAATGATTATGCATAATACGCTAATCCCACACAGTAATAATACGCTATTTCTATACAGTAATGCTATAGTGTTATATTACGAAAGTTACACCGCGTTAATCGAAGTAACGTAAAACGCGTGGGACGAAGCAACGTCAGCTCGAGTTTATCTGACGGAACAAATTCGCGTCATATAATTATAACGTCTTACAATGGCAACGCTTCGTTATAAAGGTTAACGCTTCCTCATACAATGGCAACGCGTCCTCGTACAATGGCAGCGCTCCGTTAAATTGGACTGCAACTGCTCGCCACACCAGTAACTACGGGCCACACCAGTAACTGCTCGCCACACCAGTAACTACGGGCCACACCAGTAACTACGGGCCACACCAGTAACTACGGGCCACACCAGTAACTGCACGCCACACCAGAACTACTGGCCACACCAGTAACTGCTCGCCACACCAGTAACTTCGGGCCACACCAGTAACTGTACGCTACACCAGTAACTGCAGGCCACACCAGTAACTACGCGCCACACCAGTAACTGCAGGCCACACCAGACACCTGTAACTTTATGTGAACTTAATTAACTTCTCTTCAGCTTTACCCGCTTCTTGAAAAACTTTACCAGCATACAAAATCGATGCAATTGATAGTGTAAAAATTCAGAGTTCGTAGATTTCGTTTTTATTTGTTGACTTGTGGCGGCGGTCCTTGGATCTTGAGGGCTTGCTCGAGCTGTACTGTGCCACTGGCAGAGCCTTGGACTGGGAGTACATGTTGTAGGGCGGCAGTACATGTACCCTCACGTGCTCTGTGGTGCTACGAGCAGTACTTGTGGACGCGTACCCTGCGTACAACTCCATGGGCGTCTCGCTCCTGCCCCTGCGCGCCATACTGACGGTGGTTTTGCAGCAGCAGTAGTTGAAGAGCTGGTAGTAGGCGTCCCTGAAGGGCCGATGTACCGCGTACAGGAACCCGCATGACGAAGCAGCGATGGATGGCAACCACGTTAAACTTCCCTCTGAACTTCCCCACCAGTCCACTGCCACGCCCCCCGCCCAAAGCCCTCCTGTGATCACCCCCACTGCAAGGTTTGTGGCGACCAAAGCGAGGTCTTTCTGTGGACATGTTTTCTTGAGAGCGATGTTGGCCTCAGAAGAGTCTTCCTCTGAACACCGTTTGTTGGCAGGTACGGAGCTGGGGGTGTGCAGGAGGGTATGTGAGTGAACAACCACCATCATCAGCAATGGGATCACTACCAGAGGCACCCCCACAACCGCTGTCATCGAGGCCTGTGTAGCCAATCCCGAACTCAGTACACAATGAGTGGGCCCAAAGCCACCCGCCCATTGGGCTGCGGTTAGGCTGAAGGCTGCACACCAGGAAGCAATGACCATGGCCACCAAAACCCCTCCTGGCAGTGGTCGAGTTGAGTGTTGTCTTGCATGGTTCTCCCAAGCAAGGCACGGCAGTGTTAAAAGCGCCGTATGGGCAGCCAGAATAGTGAGCACCCACGCAGGCTTGCACACCGGGGAAGGGTGCGTCCAGCCCGCCAGCAGCTCGATCAGGTCCGTGGGCAGCACCCCTGCCGTCACCAGCAGGCACGCCACCATCAGGTTCGCCAGCAGGATGTTACCTGCAACACAAGTCATACCGTAAAATTCTATAATACCTTATGATCAATCACTCCTAACCAGACCCAATTCTTTGGATGTAGCCATTCCCTTCTCTCACCCTTAATGGTGCTCTGATGGGTACATTCGTGTGAGTAGTCAGTCATATCAAAGTTCCAGCATTTGATTATCGTTTCAAAGTTTCAGTCATTATTCACTGTACAGTCGTTAGTCACTGGTACTGTGGTTCTAGTCGTTGGTCATCGTGTCCAAATACAAATCGTTGGCCACCGTGTCCACCCAAGTTCAAGTAGTTGGTCTCCATATTCACGTTCCAGTCGTTGATCACAGTGCCCAGGTTCCAGTCGTTGGTCAGAGTATCCAGGTTCCAGTCGTTGGGCACAGTGTTTTCGGGTAACAGTCGTTTGTCACTTTATTAAGGTTAGGTCGTTGGTCGGAAATATGATCCCTATTAGGATCGTACAAATCATCCAAGTCACACTACTGGGGTCTAGTATAGGACAGCACTTTCATCGCCAAGCTGTAAACACTGCCTACGGCCGACATTGCAGAATATTTGCAGCTTGCCGGGCTTTGAACTCGCAACACGTTAGCTGCTACGTCCTTGGTTCCCTTGACCACTGAAAGTGCGGTATTCACATTACAGTCGACGGAATTGTCATCATGCCAAATATGCTACAAAGGTGAGAATGACGCTGCGTAAATAAGCCACTTCCGTTTAGGAGCGTACATAAGTGCCAAAAGTATCAGCTTTGATACATTGATAGGATCTTGCACAGAATCAGCACCCCAGACGTAAATGGGGTGCATACTCTATACTAGAACATTACTGATGTGCTTATTCACAGGGCGAATTGAATAAAACAAACAAATTAGGTTGGTTAGGTTGATAACAAGGTAATTAGGTTAGGTTGACTGACACCTTGTTTGTCAACCTAACCTATTTATGTTAGGTGGACAAACCAGGTCATACTGGGGTGCTTATTCTTTACAATATCCCATTGATAAAGGCCTTAGTGACAGTTGCAAGTGCCAGCGCCTTTTTGTCGACCATTAGTGTCAAATATTAGCGTCAGCCCTTAGCATAAACTACAGGGTGCGGCAGAGAGGACGGTCGGTTTTAAAAACGTCATAAAACTGTACATTTTTACTGAAAAACAACTTTATTGATGCAATCAGATTCACAAAGAAATAGCATTTCACACAGTTAAGTGTGAAAAACAACATCTGGCATGTGGTGGCCGAAATTGTTGATGCAGGGCTGCAGGCGTTCTTGAATGTTTGCGTAGACTCCCTTCAACACCGCTTTCTCAACTTGCGCGACTTCCACGCGAATTGCTTCCATTAATTCGTCCAGAGTTCGGAGCTTGTGATGTCCCCATCAGAACTCTAGCCTTGAGATGTCCCCATCAGAAAAATCGCATAGGGATAAATCTGGGGACCGAGGAGGCCAATGAACATCGCCAAACCTGAATATAAGACGACCAGGGAAGAGAGGGCGGACGACGTCCATTGATGATCTGGCTGTGTGGGCGGTCGCCCCATCCTGCTGGAACCACACACGTCGGGCTGGAACACGACGCCGTCGTAATTCAGGGACAAAGAAGTTGGTCATCATTTCTGTGTAGCGCTCTGAGTTCACTGTAACAGCACAACCATTACCGTCTTCAAAGAAGTAAGGGCCAATGATGCACGTTTGCGATGCAGCACACCAAACCCTTACTTCTGGGCTGTGCAGCGGTCTTTCGTGTAACTGTTGCGGATTCTCATTAGCCCAATAATGGAAATTCTGCTGGTAGACCATTCCGTTTAGGTGAAAGTGGGCTTCGTCACTCATAAACAATATGAGGTGTTGAGCGGTGTTGGAGGGAGTAACAATTTGTGCGGTGTTAGAGGGAGTCTACGTAAATTTCATGAGCGCTGACAGCACGTACTGCATCAACGATTTTGGCCACCACATGCCAGATGTTATTTTTCACACTTAACTGTCTGAAATGCTATTTCTTTGTGAACCTAATTGCATCAATAAAGTTGTTTTTCAGTAGAAATGTACTGTTTTATGACGTTTTTAAAACCGTCCGTCCTCTCTGCCGAACCCGGTATTTGTGTTGGCATCAAGCATCAGCCATTAGCCAATCTTGTAGTCGTCCAAATAATGGATTAATAGAAATAAATAAATAACCCCTGATGCAATATAATAGACGAGCTCAGAAAAGAAGAAAAAGAGCTCAAAAATGATGAGACGAACTGTGCCAATGGTATCATGCAGGCGTATACTCGAAAGCTGCGATCGTAAGTTCGTGGTTCGTCGTAACTTCAAATTACTGTATTGCAATGCACTGACTTTTCTGCTCTTCTACTGTAGTTTCCTGGCTATTCGATTCATAGTGGCTAATAAGTAATATCAGAGACGACAAATGCGCCGGATACGCAACACATCATCCTTCACTGTAAACATCTCGGCCAAGCAGCTCTTTTCGAGCTAGCCGTCAATCATAGATCATTAGAAAAACCAACATTATTTGGAACTTTACGATCGCCATTAAGCCATGTCAGTATGTAGAATTTAACTTGAAGAAATCCAGTAGAACATTCAATTTTGAGTGAAAAGTACCTCAGTTTGTTCACAGGAACCTGCCTCTGCCGGAACTGGGGAGAAAGTAACAGGTAAAACACAGTGGTAGAGAAAATATCAATTCAACAAAAGCAATTACTCCATGGTCTCCTAGTGTCCAGTCACCCTCGCCCCATCGATTGCTGGAAAGCTCAACAGTAAAATTCCAGTATAGGTCGAGTTGTCCTGCTATGGTTACAATAGTTTAACACCGCTTTGACTGATTGACTGAAGGGTCTGTCCAAGACAACTTATCCCGTTCAAATTTCAACAAAATAGAAAGTGCTGTGTTTGAAATATCAGTCTCTGGCCAGAGACCGCTGTGGTTAGAATGTTAGCTGGCTATGACAACTTTCCCTGCCTGGGTCCCAACAATATAGCAACTGCAGTGACTGAAGTATCAGCCTCTGTCATATTGCACTGTCTGGGTTCCAACAATAGGACGTTCACAATAGAGGAAGTTGTTCCTGCTAACTTGTCCAGCCTGATTCCCAAAAGTATGGCAAAAAAATTAGTAAGTACTTGCCTCTGTTAAACTTCCCCAGTTTTAATTAATGAAATATGGCAAACACAATATTGAAAGTTCCAAAAAGATGATAACCTCAGAGATATAAATACCTTCGTCTCTTAACTTGCCTTGGCTGGGCACCGCCAGGAAGACAACTGTTACGAGAGAAAGTACCGAACCTCTGTCAAATTTTCCTACGTGATTTTCAACAATATGAAAAGTACAGTGCAAGAAAAACCTGCCTCCGGCATTCGCTCAGCCTATGTTATAACGATATGACAACACTCGAGGCAGTAGTACCTGCATTTGTGCGGAAACTCACCCGCTTTTCGTAAGCTGGCCTCGGTGATGAGGGCGGCTATGGCAAAGATGTTGCCCACCGTCCCGAGGGCTGCCATGGACACTACGACGATCAATTGGCCTAACCTATCCCACTCTTTTTTGGCTTCTTCGTCATCCTCCTCCCCACCAGGAGAGTCTTCTCCGTGCTTCCCTTTTTTTCTAGGGAAGATAGGATCGTTGATTTGTGTCTTTTGGGGTATGGTGATCTGCTCTTCTTTAGTCTTCAAAAAAATGAGTCTCTCCTCTTCTTCTTCAGGGTCCAGAGTGGGGATGCTGTTCTGTGAGATTTTATTATTGAAGTTAATTTCATTAGCATTCTCAGCATCTATTTCCCCATCTTCTCTCACTTGCGAACGTTCATTGCCACGAACGCTATGGTGCAAAGTGAAGTTAACTACATCGACATGCCTGCTTCTTAGCACACCACTCCAGATGTCAGTTGGACGGGTCCTATCAACATTTTGATTTCTGGAGTTATATGTTCTTGCATCTCTGTCCAGGTTTGCAAAACCATTCATCTGACCCTGCGATGAGAGCATCGATTGCTTCTGCGTATCTTCCAATGCCCGCGCATGAAAAAATTCACGGTGAGCTAAGAAATCCTCTAATGCAGATGAATCTTCAATCCGTGAATCAGCGTTACCTGGAACGTCAAGCTTGCCCAATTCATCCCCAGGACTCCCCTCAGATTCGGATGGCAGGTGTTTGTCAGGATGGTAACCAGATTTAAGTTCATCCATTGAACGAGCCATCGAGCTTTGGAGTTTTTGAGTTTTGATGTTTTTTCGGACTTCAATATTGTTCCTACGAATATCTTGAGAAATTAACGCAGGTAATACTTCATTTGGTTGTAAGTCTTTAGTACTTTTGATCGTTCGAATGAAAGGTACCAGTCTAGGTGTACTCCAGTTGCTGGGACTAACCTGAGTCGGTGAGTAAGGTTCTTGAGATGCTGTTTCGTCATCGAATACGATAGCGCTCTCCCATAGCGAGTCGTTGCTCCCGATGAAATTAATAGTTGCTTTTAGGGGTATAGAAATACTTGATGTTTCGCTAGACTTATGAGATAGACGTTTCAAAGCTACACTCTCTAAGGCAAGTTTCTGCCTGTTAGGCTCGATGGAGGGCAACAGCATGGCAAAGAATTGGTAATATTGGACACCGTGGGAATCAAGGGTCGGCAGCTTAGGTTGTAAGTGAGGTTCGACGGTGGACATCTTTGCTTCGTTGTTACGTAGCGTACCTCTCCTGTGTGTGTTGTTGTGTTTTCTTTTGCGTTTGTGGTGTTCAGAAAACAACTTGTGTTTTCGGCCATTTTGCCGGCTGACCAAACCTCGTCTGGTACCAACGTTGTGACATCCCGAATTGTTCCTTCCACCGCTCGACGAGCAGCCTAATCCAAATTGCGTGTGGTTAGGAACAATGTAAGAAGAGGCTAGGGTGGACCAAGTGGGGGGAATGTTAGAGATTAGGAAGGGGGCTACCGAGGAAAAGGGTTGGCTTGTCCACTCCATCATCTCGGGTACAGCATCACTTGCCGCTAATAACCAAATCTCCGTTCAAATTGAGGCAGCTTGTGGTTTTCTATGAAATTCCACAAAGAATGCGAAGTATAGCAGCCAGTTTGAATGTCGTGGTCTAAAGTCGCGGTCTCCGGTGCAGTTACGATCAGCTGGAAGGATGTCTAAGATGAACGAGCAACAGAATCTGAAGAGAGAAAAAATATATGTCAATGCCTCGAAGCTGCTAAATTCACGTTCATATTAGTTAAAAACATTGCATGAATGTTAGTAATTTAATTTTATACTAACCATTGATAATTAATCATAATGCATGTTTAAGTTTATTAATGTATGATAGTTGATGTTAACGCGTATCAATTAATCATATACTGAGAGAAATAAGTGAGACTTATTGCAAACCAAATAGCGATGAATTATTTGCTAGATGTAATTCATCATGAGTCCCCTCCCGTCGTTCCCCTTGCCCCTCTCTTTCCCCTTGTCCCTCCATCTTTCCTCTAGCCATCATTTTTCCCTTTTTCCCTCTCTCCGGTTGTCACTCCTCTTTCCCTCTTGTTTCCTCTCTTTCCCCTTGTTCCCCCTCTTTCCCCTTGTTCCCCCTCTTTCCCGTTGTCCCTCCTCGTCCTCCTAAGAGTCGCCCTCAAAATGTCGCTATGGCAACGGAAGGACACAGACGACCTATATATAGACGTGCGCGCGTATATACGTGCAGATGTGCGCGCAAATAGCGTGACTTGCGTGCGTGCTAATTTTTAGCGTTTCCTCATGATTACAATGTATGAGCAAACAGCGAAGGTTCCGTAGTAAATATTGATTACATCATTTTATTCGCTTTTCTGCTTAAATGAAATAACAAAATACACTTCAACCCTTTCATATTAAGTGCACTGACAAGACTGGAGGCCGGAAGGTTTATTGTATATTCAACCAACGTCTTATGACAGCTCAGGAGATCGTGGCCCGTATTATACGGCAGTCAGCGCCTGGCTCAACAAGTGGCTGCACGTGCAGAGGTACGACAACTCGGACTTTTGGCCGCGCTGCCAGGGGATCGATTCCAGCTCCACGCGGTGCCTGACGTACAGTAAAAAAAAGTGGAATTTTGCATTAAAACGAGACCATTTTATTTCACAACGTTAAAAATATCGATGAAATGTACGCTACAGTATTTCAGGGGCACGTTCCGAAAACGTACACTTCAAACTGGACTTTCAATGAAACGCGACATTCACCCTAATTGAGTCAAGGTCGAGGATTGGCTTGAGGACATTTGCGTCCAATATCCTATGAAGGATTTTTCTATTATTTTCCTCGTCAATTCACGATCGATAACTTTAACATGCATCACAAGAAGTGATCTGTTGGTTGCTGTAGAATTTATCAATGTAGATGGTTTCATATTAGACTTAGTCTCGGAGATTTATTGCTTTACTGGATTTAATGAATCCAACTGAAATAATAGATAAATCTAGCTAATTTCACAGATTTACACTGCACGACAACATAGTCGCCGTCTCTAAGTTGCAGGTGGTTTTGGTCGCCATGGAAGACGTAAAATACTGGAAGAAGCAGCAGCATTACAACGGCCGCCTGATCAGCCTCGACATCCCATCATGGAAGTCCAGAGAGACTGACGCAGGCCTTGGCAGGCTTTATTTGGCTGGCCTTACAGGGCTGGCCTTAATTGGCTGGCCTTATTTGGCTGGCCTTGCTGGGCTGGCCTTACTTGCCAGGCCTTACTTGGCAGGTCTTATTCGGCAGGCCTTACTGGGCTAGCCTTGTTTGCCAGGCCTTACTTGGCAGGCCTTATTTGGCTGGCCTTACTTGGCAAGCCTTTCTTGGCAGGCCTTACGCATGCAGTAACCACCTGATTTTAATCTACTTTTTTACAAACCAATAATTCAATTCAGTCTGACTAGACGTAGCTAGCGAGCACTTTATTGATAAAAGATTGCAAAATTATGTCCTTCTACAGAAATAATGCAGAATAACTCAACGAATAAATAATAATATTCTGTATAATACAGAATAACTCAACGTTTCAACGCTCGCACGGTGGACTCTACGCTCAGAAAAATGTGTGTGCCTTTTGTTCAAATGAACGCTTATGAGCGTGTGGACGGAAAATGCGTGTGTACGGGCGGGCGTGTGGAAGAATTGTGCGTGTGGACGGGCGGGCGTGTGGACGGAAAATGCGTGTACGGGCGGGCGTGTGGAAAAATTGTGCGTGTGGACGAGGCGTGCGTGTGGACGGGGCGTGCGTGTGGACGGAAAATGCATGTGTATAGGCGGGCGTGTGGACGGGCCGTGCGTGTTGACGGGGCGGGCGTGTGGAAGAATTGTGCGTGTGGACGGGCCGTGCGTGTGGACGGAGTGTGCGTGTGGACGGGGCCATTACGCTTTTACGTCGCTCCTCACACCATTCACTTATTAATTCTTTTTAAAAACGCTTCAAATATTTACGAAGCTTCCTTAGCTAATAATAAATGTTCTTAACTCTCTAATGACACCTGTACACGTACACACACGTGAAGCAAGCTTCATTTACACTAAAGCTATTTTCTTATTGTAAATAACCTCATTCATCACTTCGGCGAGAGGCGCTCAGGCTGCCGCTCTCTTACTCTCTAATTGCCCAAGTTCCCTCCGCTCCTGACACGATCTTCCCAAAATTTTCCCTCTTTATCGGAAACAAGAGTACCTGCTTCAAGTTCTCAATTTTACATTAGATCCTTAATTTATTTGCACTCATTTCTTACTTCTGCGAATTTTTCACGACTGGAAATATGGAAACCAGAGGACGGGTTACGCGACTAGCCACCAACGTGGGCGTTGGGCGACCTAACCTGGCGTTCGCTCTCTTAACTCTTGTGATCTTCACGCCGTTAGTTTCCTAATAAAAAACAATGAAAAGCACTTCAGTAGCAAGCACCTGGTCCATTAGTGGCAAGTAATTGAGCTGGACAGCGAGTTCTCGTGAGGTAAGTCATGCCAAAAAGAGTCAGGTGGGCCGAGGGCGGCGGCCGCGGGTTTAGCGCAGCGGCCACAAACATCCTCACTCAACCATGGCCAGGCAAACACTGAGCCGCGGCTCCGGCTGGCGGCTCCCGGGCTCAGCCTGAGAGGCCAGAGCCTCAGAGGCTCAGCCTAGTGAGCCTACACCCCCTGCACGGCTGCATCAGCACACTCCCCACCTGCATTAGCACACTCCCCACCTGCATCTGCACCCTCCCAGCACCAGGAAACTTCCCACCTGCATCTGCACACTCCCCACCTGCATCTGCACCCTCCCAGCACCAGGAAACTTCCCACCTGCATCAATATCATCCCCTGCATCAGACACCCTCGTCATCAGGACCCTCCTCCCCCTCACCTACAAGGCTACAACAGACACCAATAAAGGTAAGATAACGCAGGCAGTCGAGCGCATCTTAATCGCTAATGACATTTAAAGACAAGCAGTAAAGAGTTAACATATTTTCATTTATAAGAGTAATTTGAAACCAAGTAAATATGCTTTGCTTTTTTTCCTGTGTTGTGGATTATTACACATCACAGATTATTCAAACGGACATTTGACGCACTAAGCTCGTCGCACAGACACACACTCTCAGGTAGAGCTTGGTCTAAATTCCATTACTTTATTGCAGACAAATTTCATTAACCTTCAGGGACAATGTCGGTAAATAAAGTAACGCTCATATTTTACGATGAAATCAATCCTTTATATGGTTAGACAAAATTGTTCCGAAATCCATTTACCATAACATATGTTATTCATGAATAATATTCGCAATATTCAACTTAGCGAAGAACTTCAATTGTTGCTAATACCTCGTCGACCTGCGTGACTTGGGGGCAGCCCATTGTGCTATTCCTACGAGCGTGACGTAAGGAGCAGCCCTTTGTGCTATTCCTACGAGCGGAACGTAAGGAGCAGTCCTTTGTGCTATTCCTACGAGCGTGACGTAAGGAGCAGTCCTTTGTGCTATTCCTACGAGCGTGACGTAAGGAGCAGCCCTTTGTGCTATCCCTACGAGCGTGACGTAAGGAGCAGTCCTATGTGCTATTCCTACGAGCGGAACGTAAGGAGCAGCCCATTGTGCTATTCCTACGAGCGTGACTTAAGGAGCAGCCTTTGTGCCATTCTTACGAAAACATCGTAATTCGAAGCTCTAAATACTTATTGCACCATTTTCAGCCAGTCAATCGCTAGAAAAATTTCTACAATTTTTAGCTCCAATGATCAATCCATTATCGTTGGCTTTAATTTCTTAAGGGTGTTTTGGAAGAAGGATGAAGGTTACGGAATATAGTGCGGGGCTAGTAAAGTCCCGCAGCTGGTCTGGAGTACGTTAATGTTTTTTTTAATGCACTAAATAATTAAGCGCACAAAAAAAGCCGAGATCAAAGCCGTACTAGAGCGCACAACCGCCCGTATCAACTGAAGGAAGACAGGTGGCTGCAGGCGCTGTAAAGTAATTGAGCGAGACGCGTGGCTGCAGGCGCTGTAAACTAATTGTGCGAGACGCGTGGCTGCAGGCGCTGTAAACTAATTGAGCGAGACGCGTGGCTGCAGGCGCTGTAAAGTAATTGAGCGAGACGCGTGGCTGCAGGCGCTGTAAACTTATTAGTTGCGACGCGTGGCTGCAGGCGCTGTAAAGTAATTGAGCGAGACGCGTGGCTGCAGGAGCTGTAAACTAATTAGTCGAGGCGCGTGGCTGCAGGCGATGCAAACTCTAATTAGTCGTAACTAACGAGCAGTGCATGTGGCTAACGATATTCCGGTTGCATCACCTCGCAAGTTATGATTGGCGCCCTCGCCACGTCCACCAATCACCTGATCCTGATTGTAATGAAGTACTATGCAAATTTGCCACCACTGACTATCAGACTGCAAAGATTAAGTACGATCAGCTCTGAGGTGGGCGTTAAATTGGTTGCAGCCGTCAGATAAGCTGCCGATCCCGACTTGCGTACTGGTTTCGTTCTTAAAGGATTTTGACTCAGACGCCTGGGTGAGTTGTGTGCGGTAGTGGTGAGATTTGAATTTGATTGCTTGGTTAAATATCGTGAATTGTGTGATTATAATGACTTGTCATGTATAGGTGTTTACTTTTGTTTTCTGTTGTAGGATCGTGAGTTTATTCTCAGACCTCCATGCTCTAGTTCTCTCCTCGCATTTTGCTCTCCGCGCATATTAACTCTCTTCGCACTCAACTTCGCTTAGTACTTATTTCGCATCTCTGTATAATCGTTAGTTTTTATTTGTTTTGTTTCAATTTGCCGTTTATCTATAATACAATTAATTAAGCTTTTTTTGAGTTATCAATCCGTCCAGTCCAATCTATTGCTAATCAAGCCAATATAGGGAAGTATCTTTCAATTTCCGGTCATTGGTAAGCGTGACAATTGAAGCCATCCGAACTTTGAGGTGACGCAATTGGTTAGTCAGGAATTTAAGACTAGTTCATCACACTGATCGTAATGAGCTTTCCTATTGGCTAGTAAGCAAAGCTTTTAGCTGAACGGAAATATAAAATACAATAATATAATAGCTAAATTGAAGGAATATAGTTAATTGAATGTATATTTAAACATAATATTTATTATATTTAAGGAATAACGGCGTACAACAATATGATTAATCGAATGTTGAAAGTGAGAGCTTGAGCTGAGAGCGAGATTGAATACGTGATTTTAAAATGGAAAATATGTATGAGTATCTTAACAAAGCAAAACAAATATTTCGTTCAGATATAACATAGTTTTGAATAATTGAACAATGTACAACCTTAGCACTATCAACCGCCATGACGCAGATCAACCGATCTGCGTCGATCTATATTCCTTCAATTTAGCTTTTGTTATTGGATTCTATAAGAGCAAAATCTTATAGACAGACAGAGGAACCATGCAGTGCCCAGACCGAGATCAAGCAGCTCCTACTGATGGTGCCTACAAATCATACCCATGTCAGGGCTGGTCAAGCTTTATCTTCGGTGTCTGAAGGCAAGTATGATATTTTCAACAGACTACATCACAGTGTGCGTTAGGTTAGGTTAGACGCTCAAACTATGAATACCTTCACGAACAGACTAGAGTCACTAGACGAAGCTATGCAGGAGCATATGTTCAGTCTTAAAATACCTAGCAAATTACGGACCAGGCTGCCAGGCAATACAGTAAGTCCAGCAGCTATCTAAATCAATCGTCAGTTATTGAAAGATCGGGTTCCAAAGGCCGGATCCCTTGTGAATCAAGTCACGAAAAGTATAAGAATCGGCAACAGGCCATGGGCCTATTTCTTCAGTGTCGACACTTCTATTCTATGACGAGACACGCACGAGTTACAACCCGCGTGCTGATTAACCCGCAAGAAGAGTGTGAATGCATTCCACGAGACAGCAGCAGACTACATAATACGAGATAAGAGCAGCCTTCATTTAACAGATTGCAGGCGCATCAGGATAACAATCAATCAGCTCAAAAACTCATTTCAACTGACACTTCAGAAAAAATTTACACATTCATGTAAAATCCTACTAGTTTACTCTATTTTACGCCATTTAATTACCTCATTTTTCAAGAGTAGGAACGCGAGAATGACATGAAGGGTTTACTGGCGTAACAATCAATAAATACAATACTGACGAATTTGAATCTTTTTACCCACTATCCACTGACAGTAACAGACTAACAGGCCTTATGGTGCGAATAACATTGACAACGGGTAATGTATGATTTCTAGGTCTACTGAAAGTCTCCCTCGTTACCAAGCCGTTAGGTACAAATAGCATTGACGATAATAAATGTATTAGTAGACATATATGATATAGTTATTAGTTAATGTAGAGTCTCTATGAGCGCATGGCTTTTATGGCAAAGAAGAGGTCGGCGAGGTAAGCAAAGCCAGCGATGAGGCTGAGGCTGCCCATGGCCAGGCCGTAGTCCCTGATGGTAATGATTGTCGACATTTTCCTGTAGAAATCGATGGCGAGACAGCCGTACACGAAGAGGCTGGCGCCGAAGAAGGCGTTGATCACAGGCTCCTGTTGACACATGAAATTTATGAGCGCGTGTCGTCTTTAATGATAGTAACTTGTGTTAAAAATTACCATATTTCTGGCATAAGAGCATCCAGAGCAATGTGAGCTCCAAATATATAAATTTTTTGTCTATGTTTACCTATCTCATGCACCTCATTCCTTGAGACACTAACAGCCCAATGTTTGTTCGATTCAAATCATTGGCTGATGCTGGTTATCTGTCTTCCCATTAATGTTTTTGTCTACGAAACTATTTAGTGATCGCCAACTTTCACGTATAATTGGGCAACTGAACTATTCGGCAGTCAGAACTGGTGTCCTGCTGAAGAAATGCAACTAACAGAGAACAACCAGTCAATCAGATGGACAACATAATGCCATAATTTCAAAACTCGCACAAGTACACGTAGCGGCCTATGTTACTGTAGCGGCCTAAGTAAACATACAGGCCTAAGTACATATAGCGACCGATTTTTCGTTTTGATCGGTGGAGGTAGCTTGAAAAGTCATCATTGAATGATCGAATGACCGAGCAACGATCTATTAACTATTCTCATTCGTACGTTTACTGAATCTTAGATAACCTAGAGTTATGATAATAATGCACCCAAGCTGTTCGCACTATCATTAAATTGCAGTACGTTGCGCACAGCTTGAGCTCAGAAGGCTAAGTTCTAACCTTAGCATTAAATAATTAAGGCCGGGGTTGGAACCATCCAAAAATTCATCATTAAACTGTAAGCTACTATTTTGAAGGAGATACTGACGAAGAAACTTTTCTGGATATTCATGTTCCCCGCCAGGTAGACGGCCAGCAGAAGGGGCGTCACAATTAGGGCGGCGATGGGGACGCTGGCGCCGAAGTATGAGTTGTTCGTAATAGCCGCCGGTGTACCGCCGAAGCCGCCGACGCCCTGGTGTCGTAGTATGACAACGTCTGCGACCACCAGTGCCTGCATGCAGGAGGCCCGTGAGGATCTTGAATCACTAGTAAATGTGATTCTTGTGTAAGTATTTTGGGATACAATTTGTTCGCGAGAGGTTCCTTAACTACATTAGTACTCAAGGTCTGCACTCGTGCTCAAGAGCTACAATAACCTACTCACGCACTCAAAAACTATACCTACCCTTCACCAACCACCTCCCTCACCTACCATCTCCCTACCTACCTCCCTTCTTACCTATATCACTGAGAGAAATGGGTGGGTCTGGTTGACCTACTTTGGTAAGTCAACCGCGTCAGAATATCGATCATAATCGATGCACTTTTTTAATTCACTTGCCCCATTTGTGGGTCATATACTGATCTATTACTGGCCATTTATATTTCAAGGTAAGACTAACTTTTGGCATCGCTCTGACGCCCAAATGCTCCCTACGTATCCGTGCTACGGGTGGCGTCAAAAGCGATTTGACACAAGAGTCATACCTGAAATTTAAAGGGCCAGTAATAGGTCAGTATGATCCACAAATGAGGCAAGTGAGTTCAAAAAGTGCATCGCTAGCGAGTCGGACGCGGTTGACTCATCAAAGTGACTCATCCAGACCCACCAATTTCTCTCGGTTTACCATCTCCATAACTTACCAAATCCCTCCTTATTATCATCTCTACTAACGATCTCTCTGACTTAACCCTGACCTACCATCTATACGCTCTAAAATGTCTTGTCCTCATGATCTCTTCAACTTAACCCTGACCTACCATCTACCCTCTCTAAAATGTCCCGTGCTCACGATCTCTTCAACTTAACCCTGACCTACCATCTACCCTCTCTAAAATGTCCCGTACTCATGATCTCTTCAACTTAACCCTGACCTACCATCTACCCTCTCTAAAATGTCCCGTACTCATGATCTTTTCAACTTAACCCTCACTACTTTGACCTACCATCTACCTTCTTTAATATCTCCCGTACTCACAATCTCGAAGAGCTTGAGGATGCCTGAGGGCGTCTTGAGGTACGAAAAGTTCATCGCGGCGGCTTCTGCAACAGCGAGCTTCCATTTAAAAGCGGAATATGATAATAATTCTGATAACAATTATATAATAGTGTTGGCGCCAATGTTAATGTTGTTGATTACGTCATTAATGATGTCCAAGGCAATGATCAATGTATTGATGGCAGTGATCTTGTTGTTGGTTATGATATCTTGAAACATTGCTAGTTATTTGAATACATTGCTTGTCCTGCAAGGGTCTCTTTCTCTGCAACGCATGTCCATGAGAGAAGGTGAGTTACAGATCTAGCTGAATGAATGAGTAGTTATAACTCACAATGACTATATTTAGTCGAAAAGCTTCGGCAGCTCGGTTAACATACGACGGTATGTTGCGTATGCGTATTGTGGTATCTTAAATTGGACCACGAGATGGAATTTTATGAGGAAATTGGCCTCGAGATGGCCCGGTATGTAACTGTCAGGAGAACACAGAGCTCCAAACATTCCAAATGGAGTTGAATATGTCGTAAGTGATTGAAACAATATGAATGGTCCTGATGGCTATGTGAACAATGACGATGATTTTGATAACAACGCCAACTGTCTCGATGACAATAACAATGATTTTCAAAACATAGATCATTTAAACGTTCTAGTAGAAAAACTATTCACTGATCATAAATCAAATAAATTAACCTGAAAACCCGAGTTTTACTAAATAATGACTAAAATCAGTGCTTCGTCAATAACACAAACCTGAGAGTCTCGGTTGTAAGAGAGGTGTGAACATGGACAGGATCGATAGAGCATTTATGAAGCTCTTATCTCGTCAAGCTCTTATCTGACTGTTATCTGCCTTTTATGCCCCTAGCTATCTGATCCTACTTGTGAGTCACTCAACCATCGCGAGTAATGGTACGTCATCCGATGCATACGTAAACATTTTGCTGCGCTCTAGATTAATTCTTAACTCCGAATAACATTGACGTCACTTCTCACCACAGATAACAGTTACGTCACCCCTCACCTCAGGTAGCGTTGACGTCACAATGAGCAGTTACCCTAACACCCTCACCATAGATAACATTTACGTCACCCCTCACCTCAGGTAGCGTTGACGTCACAATGAGCAGTTACCCTAACACCCTCACCACAGATAACAGTTACGTCACCCCTCACCTCAGGTAGCGTTGACGTCACCCCTACCGCAGAAAATATCGTCGTCACCCCTCACCACAGATAACGTTTGCGTCAGCTCACTCCACTTCAGATAACGTTGACGTCATGAAAGGAAATTCGTCAGCGGTTGACGAAGTTCAGTGAAATTTCCGGGCACTGCTTCCTTGATCTACCAATGCTATAATAAGATCAATAAAACCATAAGAAAAGTGCTAATAATAATAACAAAATAGTAAATCTGAAGAGACATTTACAACAGCCACTCCCTACACCGTGTCTTTTCAAGGCGCATCTTTTGCACGGCCGCTTATGTTCACTCTAAGCTAATTTAACCCTCTCCGCCTGACATGAGTAACCAGGGAGCAATATTGTCACAAGCCTACTTAGCAAAAAATATAACTCAGTACTCACTGCAGTGAGCGCATTTTCTCGGCGACGAAAACTTGAGGTCTCGGACAGACGGACGGACAGACAGACAGACAGACGGACATGGCGAGCACAATAGTGCATTTTTTCCATAAATGAGAAAATGCGCTAAAAAGGTACCTTCTAGCGAGCGCAAAATGACTTGCACTGATGGTTGCCGCCACGTACACCTTTAAAATGTTCTCTGTTGCGTACAAACGTCCTCTGGTTGCTGCACTCAATAATTTACGTATAATTGTTTATTCCCGTTAGATACGACGGTAGAGGATTAAATCATCTATATACAAATGCTTGCAAGATTCCTACTCCCGAAAACCTTACTAATTGCGACTGTAGGAGACACCATCGGTCGGCGCATATCCCCACTAACGACCACGCCATTCCAGTGCGCTCCAAGTATACAGTAATATTGTGAGAGCAATAATTGACCAGGGCCTATAGCCCTATACCTTCAAAAAAAAGTTAAGAGATCGTAAGTTCATCAGCCAATCATTGACGGCCTTTCGAGCAAAATCTACCAATCATAGACAAGAAAATAGAGCGTAAGTACTTACGTTCACTTAGCGAGTTTTGAAAGTATGGCCCCTGATGTGTGCATTCCATTGTGCATCTGGTATACCTGATACCTGCAGGATGGTCTCGGTGTAGCAGGCACTCAGGCCTGTTGACTCGACCTGGATGCTTTCAGGTTATATGTTCCTTCACTTGATTGCATGCTTGGGAAAAGACGCAGCAATAATTGTAAATAATATACGTTTAAAAATTATCTTTTTAAAGACAACACTTCTAAATAATCCAGTGTCTCCAATGTTAAAGATGTACAATGAATTTCTCATTTTATTTTCGAACATTAAAAAAATTAATTTTTCAAATTTTTTTTTAATTTATAATTTTTTATTTCAAAATTATTTATTCTGTCAATTGATTCATGCATTGCCTCCGACTCCACACAAGTGTGCAAAATTTCAGATCAATTGGACAGGTAAAAGTGTGTCAAATATCAGTTAGGTATAAGATTTGTAGCTGATAAAATTATTTTTTCAATTTTTTAATATTGAAAAAACAATTCTACTTTTTTAAAATTATTCATTTTGTTAATTGATTCATGCATTGTTTCCAACTTTACGCAAGTGTGCAAAATTTCAGATCGATAGGATAAGTAGAAGTGTGTTAAATTTTAATTATAAGATTTGTAGCAGACAGACAGACAGACAAACAAACAAGAAGTGAAGTTAAAGAGAAGTGTTGTAAAAATAGTTAGCCACTGGTAATTCTCAGGATCAAAGAGGCCTAGTCTGTCCGCCCAGAATTTTTCAAGCCTATTAAATACGGAATTCAGGGATGGGGCAGTTACGATGCGTTTGAAAGACCATTCCGTGAGGATTCGACCCTCTGAGAAAAGAAGCTTGATCTTATAAGTTTCTTCTACTCCTCTCTCTCTGGCGAACTTCATATACTGTATGTATACCTCTTGTGACCCTGCCTCTTTGAAGGTGCATTTGCTACAGGTCTGCATCAAACGCCCCTGAGCATATGTCCAGGGGTTAGACAAAAGAAGGGAAATACAAGAGCAATCCACAAAATATATTTTAGTGTGGTGTAGGTCTACCTTTATGCGGCAATTCTCCGAGGTGTTGATACATACAAATTGTGAATTGTTTCAAAAGGAATTTTAACCAATTCTTCAGTTAAAACTGCGCCCGAATCTAGAGTTTGGAAACGTTGTGTGGTCACCCAGACTTTAAAAGTACAAAAATTTAGTTGAGAGTGTTCAAAGACGTGCAACAAGGATAATTCCAGGCTTAAAGCGCAAGTCTTATGAAGAAAGATTGAAGATTATGAAGCTTCCCAGTCTCCGTTATCGTCGCCTGCGTGGTGACCTCATTGAAGTATACAAGTATACTCATGGTTTGTACAAGGTCCCAGAAGGATTACTTGAATTTGAAACAAGAACCAACACCAGGGGCCACAGCTATAAACTAAAAAAACTGCTCTGCAACTTAACCACGCGACGACATTTCTTCTCGCTTCGAGTCACCGACAAGTGGAACAGCCATATACCATATACCAAATGCCATACACCATATACAATATACCATGTACTATGTACCATATACCATATCATACCATACCATACCATACCATACTATACCATATTATACCATACTATACTATACTATACTATATACTATACTATACTATACTATACTATGCTATACTATACTATACTATACTATACTATACTATACTATGCTATACTATACTATACTATACTATACTATACTATACTATACTATACTATACTATACTATACTATACTATACTATACTATACTAAAACTCCCTATAGCCTTTTAAAGACGATGTCGGCGGAAATCGACTTCTGACTTGCATCTCTTAAATCGACCATAAGTGCTCGATAATATTCGGGTGTGGTGGCCAAATTAGATGCTTAACTTCATTAGAATGTTCGTCGTGCCATTTTTTAACAATTACAGCTGTATGGATCAAGGCATTATCATCTTGAAATATGGTGTTCCCCACTAAAAACCGAGCTGGTTTTTTGGTTCCTGAACCATTGAATGAACTTAGTCCTCCAAAATTCCTTAATAGTCACGGCTGTTAATTCTTTCATGAAGAAAAATTATTGATCCGACGGATTTCCAAGAAATAGCCACCCAGCGCAATGTTTCCAGTTAAAAAACGAACACCCAATCTTTATCGAGTATTTGATTGAGGATGTGTTACTGCGTTGTAACAAATCCTTGCGACAACAATTCTTCTCGCTTCGAGTCACCGACATGTGAAACAGCCTCCCTGATAGCATCGTTGACGCTCCGAGTATGAACATCTTCAAAAACAGACTAGATGAAGCTATGCAGGAGCATAGCTTCGTCAGTGTGGCCCAATGGTTAAAGTTCAGAGTACCAATTAAGAGGCGCGGGTTCGAACCCAGCTCTGTGCACCAGTTTCTGGTCAGAATCGGCAAGGAGGCCGGGCGGTTATGCACAGCAGAATTGTAGCAGTGAGTTGCGAGTTCGAGACCGCAAAATGTTGTGAATGTTCTGCGATGTTAAGAATCGGCGACAGGCCTACGGCCTAATAAACGCTGAAACCGCTATTATTAGTTATTATATGTTCAATCTTGAAATGCCTAGCACCTTACGAGCCTTGCAATAAGTCCAGCAGCTATCTCAATCAATCGTCAGTTATGGAAAGATCGGGTTCCAAAGGCCGGATTCCTTGTGAATCAAGCCACGAAGAGTACATGAATCTGCAACAGGCCATGGGCCTATTTCTTCAGTGCCGACACTTCTATTCTATTCTTAACACATTCACGCTTGCTGACGGCTATAGCCGTCATGTTGAATTTGCACAAAATGCACAACCTCAATTTTCTATCTAGTGCTGGAAAGAACTGATAGAAGTGCTTTGAACAATAAACATAACATAACATAGTGAAGTCGGCGCTAAAGTGTAGGCCTGATGTGGCCTGTCGCCGATTCTTTTCCTTTTCGTGCCTTGTTCATAGATCTAAACTCGTGTCATTTGACCGGATCTTTTCAAGACTGGCGATAGTTTGAAGTAGCTACTAGAGTTCCATCGGGTTCAATAAGGAGCTAGGCATTTCAAATCTGAACATATATTTTTCCATAGCTTTATCTAGTCTGTTCTTGAACGCGTTCATACTTGGAGCGCCAACGATGTCATCGGGGAGGCTG